AGCAGAGGCGTGGCTGCATCGGATAATATTTCCGAGAATGTTGCTTCTCTTCCAGTGTGTGTGTGCGTGTGTGTGTGTGTGCGTTGTGTGTGTGTTGCTCGTGTTTTGTCCTGCAATCCCTTCCTTTTCTCTGTTGCTCACCGACGAGGAGCATTTAACCAGCCTTGGACGCCCCGAAAGGGTAGCACCGCTTTTCCGAGAGGGAGGTTTCATTAACGAGGCAGAATGCAACGGAATCATCCGAGTGGTTGCGCGCGTCTCCGGCGATAATGAGCTGCTCCCCCAATCAATCCTGCTGATCCTTGGCGCTTCTGAGGCTACCTGGCCTACCTACCACTTGTGATTAGGTAAAACGAGACCAGCAAAAAAAGACCCAAATGCTACATGCAACTGCGTACCGTACCAACAGAAAATATTCCGAGAAACCAACCCATCGGTGTGCATGGATGGGCAAAGCTGGGCCAATCAATCCGGAAGTTGACGCTGGCCCGTATCGGTCCTTCGACGAGGCGAGATTGAAACGTCTATTGCATAGCGAGCTATTCCTAGTGTAGCGGAGCTTTGCTCTCTTCACATGCCTCGCGGTGCTCTGTGATTTGCTTGATGAGAACTGCTCTTCACCTGCATCTCCAGCTCCTTCTCGGTGTTACTACCGAGACCCTTGTAGGAGAATACCCAACGGTAGTAATTGTCCGTAATGCCTTGGCCATAAGGTTACTTGAAGGAATTCCATCTCATGCCCCGGGCTTGATGCCTACAAAGCATGAACCAGCTCGTTCACCCCGTAGCCAGGCATGGCGTAAATAATGCCACGGGGAAGCACAGTGGGAGTACCTCTTACCTAGGTGGTAAAGCTCCGTCTGAGGTTGCATTCTGCTGCCTTGCTGGGTTAAGATGGATGAGGTAATCTCAAATGAAAGAGCGCCCGCCGCAATTCTGAAGTTTGATTACATAGGTAGGTATTCGCTGGTTGTACTCGGTACGTGCAGCAGCTGGTACGGAGTATTCGCTACTTGAACGGAGTATTTCTGGCCAAAAGGCGCTGCCGATGCGGCCTCTGGCGTGCTGGTTATCGCTGGGGCCACTCCGAGCTCGCCGAGATAGGAATGGAAGGCATGGAGACGAATTGGTTGCTGTCTATCGCTCACCTTGATCTTCTCCTGGATGTGTACAAGTACGTCACCAGGGTCCGGTTTGGGGGCCGGAGGGCTCGGCATCACGTGACGACTTTAATGCTGTTTGAGCATCCCAGTAGGCCTTATCACAGTGTTCTGGGACCCTGAAGCCACCGGGTTGACAGGTGGTGGCTGATGTATGCAAGGCTCGTCATCTCCTTGTACTTTTGGAAGTTTGTCCATCAGAAATAAATCATTGTCAGCAAAGACAAAGGAAAAATATTCAAGCTCCCCTTGACCTTGACCTTGACAGGTACGGGGTTTGCAAGATCGCTGCTCGATGCCGGATCACAGTTTACAGTTCGAAACGGCCACAGTGCTCCAAGGCCCGCCGCTGCGGGCGATCCAGAGAGCTTCTTACATGCAATGCCAAACCTACTGCCCACCTCCTACCAATGTAGGCACCTGAATCGAGATATGCCCGGCGAAGGCGACGGCCTTATTTTTCCTTCGCCTGACCGAGCGTCATATGTGCCATCTCCCGGCAGAACCAGTTTTTTTTGACACGATTCAAGAAATCTGTTGTTTTTTTTCCGCCCCGGCCATGCTGCTTATCATTACCCAATTTAGGGATCAACAAGTTACCTACTCTGGACGCCTGTCGACGGATTCAGGTAGGCAGCTAATTAGAAAGGGGGAGGCGGCTTCGGTAGTTTCTCGATGAATTATGATTTCATGATCATCCCCATCTACCGAGATGCCATGAGAGCAGCAGCACCGGCGTTGCGGCGCCAGCTCCGTCAAGACCAGGTTGCTGGCATGTACTCTAACTGGAGAGAGGCAAAGCATGGAGATGCGACGTAGCACCACCACTACCAGCACCAGCACCATGCCGCCCATCTTACTGTGCAACGTCTTGCCAGACCCAAAGTCTTTGAGCCGTGGTTGGAGTGGGGGTCCTGCTTCTCGGGGGAAGGGCATGGATGGACTGGGCCAGTCACCATTCGCTGCCGTAGACTTGCTCTCTCGTGTTTGGATCGACAACTCTATGAGACACCAAAACGGCCGGAGTAGGGCCGCGGTGGCTTCCTCCCTCCTGCTGCGTCTCGTTTCTTGGTCCCTTCTGGTCCCTTCTGACGCTACCCTTACAGGACCCAGGACCCGACAAAGCTGCAGCTTCATGCCCAGTTGCTCATTCTCCAGCCCTATCCGTAGTGTACGGAACATTATGTATGTGTATCCGTGTCTCGATCTCCATCGCTAATGGATAAATTCGGCCGGGACGGATTGCGTTGCCGCAACGCCACGTCTAGGATGGTAGCGCGACGGACATCGGGCTGCACGGACAAGAACAAGAACAGATCCAGAGAATAAAGGGCTGGACACTTCCGATGTGTTTCTCTGGTGATGTCCGTGTAAGGAGTATAATGATATCCAGGTAGAGTCCATTCCGTAGTCGTCATCTCGTCTTCGTCGACCCATGAGACCAACTGGTCGACCGCGATTGATGAGGCGACGTTGAGGTTTACCCAGTAGTCGTACTATGCTCTCATGTTATCGTTACACGGCCTAACCAAATGGAAAAAGATAGAGAGATAATGGAAGATGAAGATGAGATAGCAGACTACTCCGCATGACGTTCCAATTCCACGCAATAGCCGCGCTCGGGTAAAAATCCGACGTCGGGAATTGGGTTGAAGTCGCTGGCGGCTTTCGCACAAGGCAAATGAAATGAATCACGGCAGTTTCATGAATGGGCGCTTGCATTTCACACGCAGGGCAGCGCAGCACGCAAGGAGCTAGAAAATGGCACTCGGAACACGCCTGGGCCCATTGTGCCCTATTCGTCGTAGCAGCCGTGGTGTGCAGTGCGTTGTTTGTTGTCTCCTGGAGGCCACGACGCACGGCCTTTGCATCAATACGAGGACAGCAGACCAACAAATGTGGTATCGCGTATGTAAATACTACTATGTATGTACCGACTCTGGGGTCCCCTTCCCATGGCGACCCTGCGACTGGTGAATGACGAGCAGCGTGCTAGTAGTACTAGTACTAGCAGCATTTGCGACAGCCGCCTAGTGTAGTCTTTATCTTTATGGAACTGTTATCTGGATCCACGACCATCTCGGGGATGCTTTGCGGCTGTGGATCGCGATTGTGGCCCGAAAGTGCTTTGTGAAGTGGGCTCGTACGCATGCAATCTAGAGCGCAAGCACAAAGGCACGACCACGAACGGCCAGGCAGCCGCTTTGAATGGCAGCCAGCGCTACGACTCTAGGCGGCCTAGCGAGGCGTTGCGATTCGGTCGGGGGAAAACGAATATCGTCGCGAACAGAAGCCCCGTAGCGATAACCTTTTTGTCACTTAAACTTTTTCCCCCTTTGCTGACTTTGCGTGGTTGACGCATGCTGCGCACACTGCGCACGTTGCGCGGCGCCGGCGGATTGGGCTGACGTCTGGAGAGTGATTGAAGCAAGATTGTGATTGCGTTCTTGGGCCTAGTGCGCAATTGACACTGTACGCCTTGGCCTATTCGGCTAAATGCGAAAATCTCAGCAGCGCACGCGACGGATGCAAGTGCGAGCAGCCAAGAGGTCACTACACAAGTACCTCGGGGTAAAGGCGCCGGCCACTGGCCACTGGCCACTGGCACCGCGGCCTAGCGATACTGCCCAGTACAAGTCCATGCGCCATGCAACGACGGGTTCCAGCGAGTCTCAGCCGAAGCTTTGCCACGGATAGTCTTTCCCCTGCCATGGCTGCGCCGGGGACCTGCCATCGTGCGGATTCGCTCGCGGCGCTACTGTGCGGCCCGACTGCCCTGGCCCCACAGAGGGCGAAAGACGTGAACAGCACGCCTCTTGGGGGGCATTCTTTGGGGAGCGGAGGCGGCGCCCCCTCTCCTAAAGACGCCAGCCCCAGATGCCCCGGACGTTGGCCCAAGGCATACGGCGCACTGTACGGAGCTGCCCTGAGCTGGCGTGCTCCCGAGGCCCGGCGCAGCGCTTTCTCTGCGAGGACGGCACCAGCTGCACCAGCGCGCCGCGCACTGTGCGCCCAAGCTGGCTCCAGCACCTTTTTCCGTGCCGCTCCACTATTGCGCCGGCGAAACGGCCGCCGGGGCGAATCAGCGCTCGCGCATTCCCTCGCCCTTCTCGAGCCCTTCGCAAAGGTTGCAGAGCCTGCAGCGAGGGCCCTTTTGCCAGCGTCTGTGTTCTATTTTCTTTTTTTCTTTGGCGTCCCCAGCGTTCCCAAGATCCCCCCGTCTGCCACTAAGCCGTGCTGCTAGCGGGCCCTGTTCCACTGTCCCACCGCCCACACATGCCAGCATCCACCCGCTCGTTTTCTTTCCCCATTATCGCAGGTTCCTTACTCCCACACTTGGACTGGTCGGGCCTGATCCTCCTCATTTCCTCATCCTCGCCCAGCCTGTCGAGAGCCTTGTCCTGCCAGCATCGCGTAGCACCTGCGTCTTTAATTTTCTCTTTTATTATTTTTTCCGCCTCGCATCTCCAAATCGCATCCGCACCCGCACCGAAATCCGTCGCGCGCTTACAGACGGAGGAACACAGTGGCAGAGCGCTCGACTCGACCCGGCCCAGCACGAGACGAGACAAGACGAGACAAAACAACAGACGCATCGTGAGCCGTCACTGCGCTGCCGCTGCTCCCCCTCTCCTCTCCTCTCCTCGCTCTCTCCCTACCGACCGGCGTCGCCATACCATTCCCCGCCATGTTAGGACCGCTGCTCTCTCCCTGCGCCCAGTAATAGAGAGTCTCCAACCCTCCGAGCTGGCCAGCGCGGCCGCTCGTCTCCCGTAGAGAATCGCTCCTCGTCACTCGTTCTTCTGGCCTCCATCGCCATCGCCATCGCCATCGCCCACCATGGCTGCAGAGCATCAGCGCCGTGTCGCCGCCATGGATCCGCCACACATCACCGAGTTTGCCTCGGAGCGCTACTTCGAGAAGCTCAACCAGCTGCGTGCCAACAACCAGCAGCAGGCGGATCATGCGGAATCCAGCGCCGCGACAACAATCACCACCCTACACGCCAATCCCCCGTCGAGATTCATCCTGCCGCTGCGAGACTCGAAACCGGCTGAATTCGATGCTGTCAAGCCGGCCGACTCGAAGCGCGATAAGAGAAGTTTCTTCAGTATCCGACACAAATTACATTCCAAGTCCGATACGGTGGAAGCTACGTTGATACAACCTTCAAGAGCTTCCACAGAATCGACGCGAAAAAGGTGCGTCTTGTCTTCTCCAGCCCGTCAACCACAAGAAGGTTAAATAAATGCTAATTTTGAGTTTGTTATCTTCGCCACGTCTAGTGTTCCTCTTGACCAGCTCGTACTCGCACTGCCGAGCGAACTCCAGATTCAGATCGTCTCGTCTCTCCCTCTAACCGATATTCTTAACCTCCGAATAACCTCCAAATCATGGCATGCGCTCATCACCCTCAACGAAGTCCCCATTGTACGATATCACCTCGACCATAATATACCCGCCTATGCCACTCGTCTATACCCGCTTAGAGACTCCTCCGACATCAATTTCCATTACCTGTGTGGCCTATGGCATCGCCTTCATGTTGCGGCTAAGCTATCATACCTGATGTGTGACTGGATCACAAAAGATATTTTCCTACGAACAACAGAAGCTCAGAAATTAGCCTTCGCACCGCAGCACGAACGTATGCGCCGACGACTGATTCCTTTGCTCTTTACCGTTTTCCACTTTTTCGAGACGTACAGAAAATTGCACCTGAAATACATTGCTGAAAAAGGAAATGGGCTACTGAAGGAACCCTACACAGTGAATCCGATTGAAACGGAAATTATGAACATGTACGACAACCGGACACTGCTGAGAGTACATGAGGTCTTCCCGCTCATCATATCCTCCTTCTGCCGCCGCCTGCGACCGCCGACGTATGTTGGTCGAGTGGAACGATCCCTTCGCGGTTACCTGAGGGAACGACCCCCCGACGAGGTTCATGTGGCCATCTTGTGTCTTGGTGGGCTTCGTCAGGTAGAAAGATTGTGGGAGACAAAGGGCTATAACAACCGACGGGCTGCTGTTGATGTTTGGTTCAGCTCTCTTACCAAGGAACCTGTGGTGGAAGCACCTGCCAAGGGCCGGCTGGGATTGAAAGGATTTGGGCGAAAGAAGTCAACAAGCGGCGACCGACCTCCGAACCGATCATCGTTCAGCGAAGGGGCCCATAGGAGTCCGTGGGGGTCAGTAGACTCTACCCACAACGGAGGCTTTATCCCATATAGCGTCTTCAACAGCAGTCTTTCCGCCGATGCGCCCATGGCACCTCTTGATCGCGACCAGGCCAGGACTCTGCTAGGGGATCTGCCACAGCTGCAGCAAATATGGCTAGCAACGGCAGAGGCCATGATTATGGAGCGAAAAATCGTGCAGCGACCGCAAGATATCAAACGGAACCAGCAGGTTATGCTGGACCTGATAGGAGAGGATGGCCTGGACGAAACAGACGAATGGTACTATGGTCGCCACATGTCCGAATCCGTAAGGCCGCCAGCAGCAGCGCTCGGCGACGATGGAGATTAAAAGATCTCCCCCTTACCAATCTCACCGACGATAATACGCGGCTCATTGCTCTTCCTCCTTCCATATATACATATTTATGCTCGTTATGCTCGAGCGTCTTTATCTTTTTTCTTTTCTCGATACTAAAGCAAGAACTCTTCTGCTTACACCACTATTTCCTTGTGTATGTGTGTCCATTTTGACACAAAGAAGCATTTACGAGGCGTTTTCTTTTTCTGGGTATGGGATGGATCCGCGAGATACGGATTCCAATGGTTGTGTGGATTACTTTGGGCTTTTGTTCTGTGGCTGCTTGTTGTTTTATTTTGTTTCTACTATATCACTTGTCATATCCCTTCCTTCTTAAAGATTTTCCTTTTTTTTTCCCCGTGTCTTTTTATTTGGCTATTTAAACGCCTTCCGATCTGTTGTCATGCCTGGGTTTAAAAAATACCTGTTTTATCCTGCATTGGCGCAGCTGTTAGCCGCACGCATAGATCTTGCGCAAAATCTCTCTTGTCTTATCTCTATCTGGTAAACCAAGCTGTTTTATTCTTATTTTTTATCTTTATTTATCTCTTTGTTGGTTACTTTTCTTTCCTCTCTGTTGTTGACAAATCGACTTTTTCGTTTTCACTTTGCGTATTGTATACTTTCATTTATCTTTCAATATCTCTAGCGAAGAAGAACACTTTTGGCTCTCGACTGAAAATCTCTATAGTCGCAAAAAATACAGAAAACATATTTCAAATTAAATTTGGACTGATATGAACTCTTTTTATTTTCGCTTGTGACGCTTTGCTTATATATTCATAAATATGAACGTGAATACCGAGTATGTACACCTACGCCCCTTTGTGCGACTCCCTAGAAAGTAAATGTTTGGACCCTTTTGTCGTAGTGCGTCTATGGCTCTGCTGTCACCCCTTCTGGTCCAGCCGTGATGGCAGACAAGGGAGAAATAGATTTCCTTCCCAAAGATACAACATCTGTCGAAACATTCTTTTCTCATCGGTAAATATATAAGATAAAAAAAAACCAGAAAAAAAGGGGGTGGGGGAAACATCATAGCACAATGCATAAACTGTACGCTCTCTCATACACTCTCATCATAAATCTCATCTCCAGGGGGAAAAGAATGGAAAAAGAAACAACCAAATGTGCCTATACTCCCTGAAACCCATCCTTGTTTGTACGCCAGCAAAAAAAGGGAATGAAAAAAAAAAGAACAAGAAATCTTGAGAACAACCCTGTTTTACTTAAAGGGGGTGAGATTCTGCTGCTGATAAACTCCCTCTGATGCGTTACTTTTCTTTTTTCTCATTACAACGCCGAGAACGTACACAATCAACCAAAAGTTCAAGATCATGGAAGATTGAAAAAAAAAAAAAAATTGAAAACGCTCTATTTTAAACGCCATCTTATGGGCGACCCATGGCTTGATATAGCCTCTCTCTCATGTTAGGCTCAACCAAGGTCACATCAAGCGGCGTGGAGTCGCCAAATGCCGCCGCAGAGTCTTGCACGTCGCGCTCATTCAAGCCATAGTCCATGTCAAGGTAGCTATGTTCCGCAAAGGACGGGAAGTGGCCCAGGCCAGATGTTGAAGGCGCTGCAGCCGAAGTTGCGGGGACCTGCTGGCTGCTGGCAAAGTCAGAAGATGCGTGACGAGCTGACGGGGTATGGCCCGATTGGCTGCGCGAAATTGCCAGGGATGCTTGCTGTGATAAGCTGGCTGTGCGGGCGTCGTTGGAGCTCTGCCTTGCCATGTTGGGATTGGAAGAAGACCCAAACGGCGAGGCTTGGTTGCTACCGGTGCCTCTGGCAAAGCTACCGCTATTGGTGGCTGTATGTCCTAACTGGCCCGGCAGCTGCCTAGCCTGGTTATAGAAGCCTTGCGAAGACATGCTCGTTGGGCTACTTCCGTACATCTGGCTCGGGGCTCTGGGTCTTGAAGACCCTGGTGGCATATGCTGGAGCTGTAGCGGAGGCCGCATCCCTGCAGTCTGGGGATGAGGTCTGTGGGGTGCATACTGCTGAGGTTGAGGCTGCGGCTGCGGCTGCGGCTGGTTTTGAAGTGACTGAGTTTGACCCTGAGGTTGTGTTGGTGACCGCTGCGAATGGTGATGGTGCGGCGGCTGCTGTTGTTGCAAATGCTGTGAATTCGAGGCTTGTCTCGCAGCAGCACTAGCATTAGCTAGCTGGTTATCAAAGCTGTTGGAAGCCATGGTTTGAGAGATGCTGTTGTAGCTGTTATTCAGAACAGGCGATGTGGTCATACCTACTCGGCCGGGCTGAGAGTCAATGTTGTTGAAGATGGGGTTCTGAAGCGATTCTCTCGACACACGTCGGCGCTTCAAGTTAGTCTGATCAGACGCAGTGTTATGCAGCGGAGTATCATCGCCTGGTCGCATATGCGATGAAGGGTCAGTTGCTGTGATCGTTGCCAAGGACTCTCTAGCGACCTGAGCCGGATCACCCCCTTTTCTCTTTTTGGGATGTGAGTGATTGTTGATGGAGCGGAATTGATCCAATGATTGCATTGCCGCTCCAGCCCAGCTACTCACAGCCGGAAACGCTGGCTGGCTTCCTTGAGGAGCACGGTTGCCTATGTGTGCGGCGTGCTGCGTTGTTGCGCTCTCTGGCAATGGGGGTGATGGATGTTGGTGATGTTCGGGCCTGGGAGGCATTGTATTTGCAAAGGATGAAATATTACTCTGGCTCTCAGTTGCTTTGTGCGATAAAGGAGACTGTGCAATGGGATTGGAGGTTGAAGAAGTAGGCAATAAAGCGTGAGGATTCTCTGCAGCCGCCTGGCCAGCTTCAGGAGTGTTCTTTGGCCGATTTTTAGACCCTTTAGGGCGACCTCTCTTCTTGCCCGTTCCTGGAGTGCTCATGATGCTAGAATCAGGGTCAAGATGGCCTGGCATATCGCCATGGTACGCAGGGTTAACGAGTCCGTTTTGAGATTGCTCGATAGATCCATCGGGTCTTCTCCCCAAATCAGACTGGGATAGCTGGGAGCCGCCTCCATCAATTTGGCTGGATGAATGCAGCGCCGGATCCGACTTTTTCATGCCCTTATCAATGCGAGGTTTGGAGCTTTTACTCCCCTTGGGCCGTCCTCGCGGTCTTTTGATAGGAGTTGCGGTCGCTTCACCAGCGGCATTCTGTCCCTCTGGAGGATTACGGGTAGGCTCAGATAGAGGGGCTGCAGAGGCTGGCTGAGCAGGAGGAGCGGTGGTATTGGCGGAATCGGGTAGAGCTGGAGCCTGAGTTGGTGCGGTTGCGGGTGCCTCTGGAGCAACGACGGCGGTAGGAGCAGCGGCAGAGACTATATCTGCGGTTTGCAGAGACGGGTGAAGCGCTAGCGCTGAAGGGTTCCCCTCGACTGGAGGGAATATCTCGGCGACCCAGCCGACGAAAATGGATCCCTGACCATTGTTGCGTCCGCTGTCCGGGAAGTCGAATTCGTGCGATGAAGGCGCGCCGGGAATGCCTCCAAAGTATGCCAGCGCTTTGCACAGCTGATCCACCACCACCATAGGATTCAGGCTGCGCAGCAGAGTGAGGAGCCGAGCTTGCTCAGCTTTGGCTTCATGCGGTAAAGGTCCCAGGGGGCGTCCAGGGAGCGAGTAGGAAGGATTGAGATAGCCATTTTGCGAAGCTCCGTACGCGGGGGCTGAAGATCGTGGGTCTGATTCGGTCTGCGGATTCCACGCCAATTTGCTACGTTTGATGGATTGGTAGCCGCGCATGTTGGCCAACCTCGCCGCCGCCTCTGTCTCTTCGCTTGTGCGCTTTGCGGCAGCATTCCGTAAGGCCGCTTGTGAGCTATTTATATCGATGTGCATCACACCAAAATTGCCGTTCTTGTTGTCGGCTTTGCCCTTGAGTTTGCTGGGTACAGGATTCTTGACCCGGCCATCTGTGGTATGGATGGAGGCTCCATCCGGGCCATCAATCACATCTGAGCATTGCAATAAGCATATTCATCCTCTCAAAAGCCGCTCGATCGGACCCAACGAAGCATTGCGCCTACGTACCATGACTAGAAGTGCGGATCGGCGTTGAAGACCGTTGGCCGGGGGTTGCGGACGGTTCCGGCGCGCCGTCAGCCTTGGGGGCCACGTCTTCAGTCGCAGGAGAATCGCCGAGGATGATGGTCGCAGAAGCTGCCACGGGCAAAGTCAGCGACAACACGAGCCGGGACGGGACGGTGGCGGAAAAGACACCAGACGAGGGGACGAACCTGTGGCTGCGGCCATGGCGCTGGGAGAGGTCCCGGGATGATGCGCCCGCAGACCACTTCATGCCCACGCGTGGGCGAGGCGAATTGGGGCTCGAGAAGGATGCAGAGGGCCGCCGGGGTGTAGGGCAGAGACAGGATGGTGTTTTGGCCGAGGACGAAGGAGAAGACGGGCGAGAGCAAACAAACTGGCGCCGGAATTGCCGTCTCGGGGCGCCTCACATGGTCCGGGACTGCGGGGCGGTCAACGGTCGTTTGTATCGCCTTCAGACGCCTTGAGGTCGCGTTTTGCAGGCTGTTGTCATGGCCATGGCCTGACCAGAAGAGTTGGCGGTGCACGGCGCAAATCGTCCTCTTGATGTTGTCGGCCCAGAGCGGACTAGCGCTGGCGGAGCGCCGCCGTTTTTATGCATTTGACGGGGCGCGGCAGCGGCACGGAAAAGAGTATCGTATAGACGAATATTGCTGTATAGATGCGAGCTACAGCGCGCAAGGGCAGTGCGCAATACCGAGCTTATTCCACGCAAGGCGAGGGGCTGGCGCTTAACGGGGTGTCTCAGTCGAGGTACTCGGTACTTTGAATCGTCTGTCTCAGATCGGTTCCTGCAGGCAGCGCCTCGTACTGAGTACATCATCGCCGCCCCCACTACCGGAGCTGCTAGCTGAACTGTCACTGGACCTCACTAAGGCAATGCTCGCGAACTGCTTCTGCGTCGCAATCTATACATGTAGCTAAGCTGTCGATCGAAGCTTCTCTCGAGCGCCGCTGCCTCTCTTTCAAGGAGAAAGCTACGATTGTTTCCTGGGTCTGCACGTGAGAGCTTCCATCTAGCTGACCTTTCATTGATCATCTCTTTCTCTCGTTATTTGTTTCTTGCTTCATTCTCCTCGTCTTCCCCTCGTCGGGTCTACTTCTACCTCCGTTTCTCGTCACCACCGCCATGTCAAGATATGCGTTGATATCGCTGCCCCAGAGCGCGTTCGACTCTGGCGACCGTGATGAGGCCATCTCGTCCCTGAGCGCGACAATAACGTCCGACAATGGCACTGTGCTGCCGTTTAGCATCCCCGACTTCAAAATCGGAACTCTAGACCTGCTTGTCCAGCAAGCCGATGACTTGGCCAAGCTCGAGGGTGCATGTCAGTCAGTCGTCGCCAAGGTTGCGGATTCCTTGCGCACGGTGCTCAACAATGACGAGGACCGCATGGCCTCGTACAAGATGGTCAATGATAGTTAGTCGAGCCAGATATGCGCTTCTATATGGATGATGTGGATGGTGGGGCTGACAGCTTGTGGCAGAGCCGACCGATCACTACCTGCGCAACTTTAGCTGGAACAAGATGAGATACCGAGCCGACAAGCCCATTGCTGATCTTATTGGCACTCTTCAGAAGGCATGGACTCTTTCTCTCTACTTTCTTCATTGCCGGCACATTGTCACCTTTGTTCCTTGAAGCTCATCCTAACTGTGATACAGGAGCTCAACACAGTCGACAACGACGTCAAGTCCAAGTTCAACCAGTACAACGCCGTCAAGACAAATCTTGCACAGCTCCAAAGGAAACAGACGTTAGTAATGTAATCTATCTATCTGTTCCTAGCTAATTGGCTTAATTCGACTGCAGTGGCACCCTCGCGACGAAATCTCTCACCCCGATCGTCAAGCCGTCGCTGCTCGTTCAAGATTCAGAGTACCTTGAAACTCACCTCATCGCCGTGCCGACGAATGCGAAGAAGGACTTTATTAAGAGCTACGAGACCCTCGCGCCCATGGTGGTGCCCCGATCATCGGTAGAAATCGACCATGACGACGAGTTCACGCTGTTTGCCGTCGTGACTTTCAAGAAGCATAGCGCCGAGTTTGTCCACAAGTGCCGAGAGCAAAAGTGGACACCTCGTCAGTACAAATATGTCGAAGGCGGCCGCGAAGAAGAACAACGAGAGCTGGATCGTGTGACCAACGAAGAGCGCAAGGTTTGTGGCGAAGCCCTGCGCATGGGAAGGACTGGGTGGAGTGAAAGTGTCATGATCTGGGTGCATGTCCTTACCTTGCGCGTCTTTGTTGAGGCCGTATTGCGATATGGATTGCCGCTGGACTACGCTACGGCTCTGATCAAGGTATGCTATATCATGCTATTTACCTTTTACACCTGGCCTGTCGATAACCTTGATTGGTTCTTTGGCCTGATGCCGCATCACTATTTGTCTATGTCTACTGACTACCTTTGGAACAGACGACACCGAAGCTGGCCCCCAAGGCAAAGGCAGCGCTGGACTCAAAGTATTCATACCTGGGCGGAAATGCGTTCGGAAGGGACAAGCACGGCAGGGTCACGAAAGATGATGCCGCCCTTAGCTCAGAGATGGCCGCGGCGGGATTAGGGACCGGCGAAGGAAACGAGTACACGGCTTTTGTTTACTATGAGGCTGAATTTCCCTGAAGCGGATATAGAGAGGATTTCTTTCTAAAAGCGTCATGCGCCTGTATTCTATGTTGTTTGTTTCAACGTCCTTTCTAAGACTTTTAAAGACTATTTTTCGTTTCCCCCCATCTACTACTATATCGATCGATCAACCTTCTAAGAAGTGGTTCCAGAGTGACAAAGGCAAATAGCATTTACAGCATATTTACCATGAGTGTTCCTATCCTGCTCTTAAATCCGAGTATGACTTTTTATTACTGGATATTCGTTATATTTATCGTTGCTTTCTAGTTCTTGACCTCTACGCTCTTGATGTAGCCCTTTTCGCTGAGCCAATTTGTGATCTGCGCAACGCATTCCTCGACGGTATTCTCGTGAGTCTTGATTGTGATCTCGGCGCTCAAGGGCTCTTCATATGGTGCAGAGATGCCAGTGAACTCCTTGATCTCGCCAGCACGGGCCTTCTTGTAGAGACCCTTGGGGTCGCGCTGCTCAGCCACTTCGAGGGGCACGTCGACAAAGACCTCGATAAAGGGAATGGGCTCGTCGCCGTCCTGGTTGGTCTGGGCGTGCAGCTGGCGCGCAAGATCGCGGTCGGCGCGGTAGGGCGAGATGAAGGAGGTGATGGCGATGGTGGCCGAGTCGGCAAAGAGCTTGGCGACCTCGCCGATGCGGCGGATGTTCTCGTTGCGGTCGGCCTCGGAGAAGCCCAGGTCCTTGTTGAGGCCGAAGCGCACGTTGTCGCCGTCGAGGCGGTAGGCGGAGAGGCCCAGGTGCAGGAGGTGCTGCTCCAGGGCGGTGGCGACGGTGGACTTGCCAGAGGCGGAGAGGCCCGTCAGCCAGATTGTGAGGCCGCGCTGGGAGCGCAGCTGGTTGCGCTCGCGGCGGGAGAGGGAGGGATGCCAGGTGATGTTGCTGTTGATTGTAGAGTTAGCGACTTGATTTTTGCACTGTGGTTGGATTAACGAGCGTGTTCAAGTATTTGCGCGAGGTGCGCATAATACAGGAGAAGGGATGGGAAAAGTCGTGATAATGGGCTTTTGGAGGAGAGCGAGCCTCAACTGTCTGTCGCAAGGCGGGGGAGGGGCAATCTAGATAGACGGGTTACGCACGTGGCCATTGTGTATATGAGACGGGATTTAACGAGGAAAAATGAATTCCAATGGGACAGAGCGCTTGTTTAAAAAAAGACAAGAAAAAGAGAGCAGATAGTACAAGACGATGGAGATGAAGCCAATGGAAAAAGGTGTGGGAATACTACTAGTAGAGTTGCGATATATAAAGGGATGGACGGTTTAATGGCGATATGCGAGATGGGCGATCATTCTGCATGCGTACATACGTACTTCTTACTTCCACTATGACATTCGGGCCCTCGCCGTCATCGCCAGCCGCTATTTTCTCTCCTTCTCTCCACGTACTACTACATAAAAAAAAAAGTTACAATCTAGTCTAAACAAGAAAAGAAATCCACATTCTACCCCATATAAAGGGAGCTTTTCTAGAGATAGTTGGGCAAACTGCGCCAAGGGGTATGATGTGCTCATCGAGGAGGCTGATGGCGACAGCCCGAAACCGCCGACTTCCGTCATATGATCCCCGCTGTTTTTTTTTTTTTTTTGCTAAAGCTTTTTTTCTTCCTTCTTCTTTGTAAGCAGTATAGCTACCTAGCATGTCGTTTCATTGATTTTGAGACTTTATGTGGCTGTTTTCATACTTGATTCATGAATGAATAGGGATGCGAGAGGTAAGAGCATCTAAAAGGCTCGATTCAAATCGCTGTTAAAGACAATCCTTCGTCTACTCTAAAGCTCTAGGTACTAAAAAGTACCGTCTATTATCTCCCATGTACAACGTACATCATCATGCAATGTATCTGATAAGTCTTTGTGTATATCCGATGCCTCGAGTCGCTTTCTCCCAAGAATAAAATGAAACGTTTGAAAAAGCAATGCAAATCAAAATAAAAAAGGGACATCCCGCGTTCCTAATCTTCAGCCACCACATCATCAGCCCGAATAATCGCGTCCGCTCTCAGTAAATTCTTATACGATTGAGGGCATCAACTAAATTATGATGTCAGCGCCATGCATAGAAAACCTCAACAGACGGTTCAAACTTACTGCTGCATACTTGGGCGAGATGAACAGTCCCCTCGCCTCGACCAGGACCGTCGGCTTCTCGCCCGGCTCCGGCAGCGTCTCGATGCTTCCCACAGACCACGCCTTGCGTCCCTCGACCTTTGTCGTCGTTCCGCGGAGCACCAGGAAGCTATTCGCCGGCGTCGGCTTGCGATAGTTGACCTCCAGGTTGGCCGTCACAGCAATGTTGTGCGGCAGCGCGCCAAAGCATCCCCGCGCCATGCCCTCGTCCAGCATCGTCGCCAGGAACCCTCCGTGAACGAGGCCCGGGTGGCCGCAGACCTGGTCGCCGATGTAGGTGATGCTGACAATGGACTTGCCGCCGTCTTCGATGAATGCGATTGGCGGGACCACCATCTTGCCGTTGCCCTGCAGGACGCCGGCGGTGAGGCTCTGGTTGCGGATGCCGTTCGCCATCTTGAGGTGCGGCCGCGACTCTTTGAACTCGGGCCGTGATCGCAGCTCCTTGACCAGCGGGTGGTTGTTGATTGTGTCTTCGATGCGCTGGACCTCGTTGGTGTCGGGCACGAACAACTTCGATGTCTCGGCGTCTGTGAAGTGGGAGAAGCCCTGCTGCACCATCGAGTACCATGTCGCTGCTGCTCCGATGCTACTAAATGCGACGCCGTAGAGGATCAGGCCGAGACCTCGTCCGATTCGTCCCTTGGGAGCTGCCGCGGCTATAGAAGAGGATCCCAATGTTAGCCAAAATCCCATACGCCCCTCATTATGCATAGACTCAGTGAATACTCACCCTGTGCAGCCTCAGCATAGCATCGTCGTTGACCGGCCCCTTTGATCGCAGCAAGCGGCGACTGTTGGCCACTTCGAGCCATCTGACCAATTCGGCGCCCGCCACGAGCGACTTGTTGTCCAAACATTCTGCCAAATGTCTCTTTTGTTTTCGTTTCTCTCTTGTTTTTCCAATTCCAACTCTCGTCGCACGTCCCCTCTAATCAAAGCAATAAGACAAAAAGAATAGCAAGAAATTATAGGAAGCAGGAGGATTGTATTAAAAGAGCGGGATTACCGAGGCAAAGGCGATCCGATTGCGCGCCTAATTTACGGCACCTCCATCACGCCTTTGCTGGCGCATTTATTTGCCGATAAGATAAACTGATACGGCTTATCGGTGCCCTGTTAGCCCGATTCTAGCCAACCTTGCGGCTTATGCCGTTCGGCGTATCCGAACTCGGTGTGGTTGGAGAGCCTCGGGAGTAACAAGTGATTATTGGTCGGGAATATTTTCCTTTTTTGGCTGCTGTATTATTTATTCGCAACTGCGATGAAAAAAAGAGCGAAAATCCAGCAAACGTGTGTATGGTTTTTTGATGATTGCGAGAAGATGGTATACATAAAGAATTTCATAGCCTGTTTGCCTCCTCCCGGGCACACTGAAAAGAGGAGAGACCCTTCTACTGTACAAATCACTTACAACCAAATACTTCAAGTGTTTCGTAGCCGCTAGAACTCTCGCTGCCTCAAAACAATTCTTTTCCCTATTATTAACATTTCTTAATCTATTTTTACAAATCGTCTTCTTCTCCCGCCAAAAGCTCTGCATAGTCATCCACAGACGCAAATGTAGGCAGGCCCTTGAGCATCTTCTTCCTAGCCCTACGCTTGTCGCCCTTCTCCTCGTCCGACTCGGCCACGTCAGGGGCAACCAGGCCATCCTCTTCTTCACCATCCTCTTCGTCTGAAAAGTCATTGAATTCCACGCCCATGTCGTCCTCATCCTCATCCTCATCCTCATCGCCATCCAGTGACAGGGCAGGCGAGGAATCATCGTCTGATGCCATATCCAGCTCATCCAAATCGTCAAAGCCAGCATCAGAAGCATCTTCATCAATGTCAGGTTGAGCATTAACCAGTGCCTTCCAGATTTCATCTTCTTCCGCATCGTCGTCTGCATCCTCGTCGCCTGTCGCGCGTGCCTTCTTCGTAGATTCCTTGGGCTCCTTGGAAACGTGCTGGAAGTATTTGTGGAAGAAGACATCTTCGGCAGCCACGTCGTCCGCCTTCTTGTTCCAGAATGCAGCAGAGTTGACTTGGGTTGTAGATGCGCTACTGCGCCCACCACCGAGCCAAATATCTCCAATGTCCTTGGCCGCCTTGAGAGGCTGCATAATAGAAGCACCACGAGTATCCGAAGCCTTTGCGTTCCTGTAGACGAATTTATCCAGGAACTTTATGAGAGTGTGGCTCTCCATATCAGGCTTCATCATCTTCTGGTTTTTATCTAGCAGCGCAGAGGCAAATCTCTCCACGGCTGGATGGAAATGCTGTTGAATAGGGACCTGGAACAATGAATTAGTCATTTGTATCGCGCATTATGTGGCTGTAAGAGAGTGAACATACCATTTCCCACAGACAGCTTCTATGAGCGTTGCTGTGTACGGGATCTCTTTTGCGTCCATCGTATGTTGGACGGTCCTCAGGCGCCTCATCATCAAATACTGATTCTTCCGGCTCCTCAACCAGGGTTGAAATATCAGGGAAGGTTTGTCTTAGCTGAGAGATGACGTAGAGCAAACCACAGATAAAAGGGGGCTGGTGGAGACCTGATACCTGCAGCATTCGCTTTGCGAAAGCCTTGACTCTTCTCACATCGACATCATTCTTCAGTGCCCGCAGCAAGAGATTCAAGTAAAGTGCCTGTTTTGAAGAGTTTATGAGACGCGGATCCAGTAGCGACTCATACAGTGTCCGATAGAAGCGATCGCTGCCGAGGTGTTTTGTTGTAGAGAGATGCTGAATTAAGAGTAAAGCTTGAATGCCGGTGTTGAAGTTGGCAGAGTGTGCAATTTTGAAGAGGGTGTCAAGATGGCGTTCCAAGCTAGTGTCAAGTCATTAGCATCCATACAGGCACATAGCATTCATAGTTTCTGAAAATACTTACACCGTATCATTGGTGCCTACAAATGGTGCGGCACGGTTCACACCGGTCAATAGGGCAGACACAAGTTTATCAGCTGCCTCGGCTTCTGGGACAGAAGGGGCTGCGGCCTTTGCCGGTTTACCCTTCTTTCCGAATGAGCCTTTGCTAGGCTTCTGGGCATTAGTGGGCTCATCCTCTGTCGGTATTCCGAGTTTTCCAGTTTTGAGAATTGTAGCGAAAAGTCCAAAGTAGATACGAAGAAGAGACTCAGCTACTGCCGGCTCCTTGTTCGAAAGAATTGTCTGGTTGAGGGTATTGATGGCATAGTAGCGTACTCGATGATCTGCTGACGGTCGAAGGAGGATCTCCTGCTCTATTGTTCGCACGATGATCGGCTTCATGCCGGGATGTGAGTTTTGCAGCTGCAAGAGAAGATATGAAGCTCGGGAAGAGATCTTTCGGTCGCGATCACCAAGCTTGTTGACCAAGAGAGTGAGAAGGTTTGATTCTTGTTCTGGTTTATCCTTGAGCAAGGCATAGACAAAGTCGACGGCTCTCATTCTTGAATATTCAATCTCATCAGAGCACCAGACTTCCAAGAGCTGGATCATTTTGAAATAAGTATCCTTCAACCAGTCTTCGTACGCCCAAGAAATTAAATGAGCTTGCGTAATTTTACCGGGAAGCGGCTGGCTTGGAGCCCAAATTTTGGCGGAAGCTCGTTGGAGGGAGCCCAGAAGCCCAGGCTGAGCTTGGAAGTTCCTCAATCGTCGGTCTGATGGCAGCACTGTGCCTGGGCCAAGCATATCCACGAGTGCTCCTATAGCTCCAATAGCTTGGGCTCGGCTCTTTTTGGAAGCCAGGTTCATCAAAGAATCGAATGCGCGAATGTTGTGAACGGGGGACTCTTGACAAGCCAAGGTGAGGGCGGAAATTTTGTCTGTAAGAGTACCAGATGTCATGATGGTAGCAAGAAATTTGTGAGACGAGGACGCAAAAATGGTCGTTCTATATTTCGCCGCCTCCGTCTCCAGGAGATATTTTCCATGCTCTTTTAGTGTGTTTATGGCCGACATGAAGGGACCAATGTCATCGATTTGAGGCTCAGGCAGTTGAGCCAGCCTGGCAGCGTGCCAGTCCGCGCGCGGTTCGAAAATCTAGTTTACTAAGTTAGTTGTCAGAGATGCCCTTGACTTAAGGATATCAACTTACCAAGCCTTCAACCCTTCGCATTTCATTCTCTGCAGGTCCCTTATCTTTTGGGGCTTTCAGAGTTTCGCTGTTGCCCTTGTTCTTATTCTTCTTGCTGACCTCTTCCTCGCTCTCATCATCGTCTTCCTCTTCCTCTTCGTCCCCGTCTTCTTCTTCGTCTTCTACATCCTCCTCCTCCTCCTCTTCTTCGTCGCTAGCATCATCTGGTACAATTCCGGAGAATCCAAGTTCTTTTGAAAGAGCTGCCAGCTCATTCTTCAGTCTCTTGTCTACCGGTGCCTTTGATCCTGAAGTAACTTCATCGTCAGATGCGACATCGTTGATCAGGCGCCAGTCCTCTTCATCTCCTCCCAGGGCCTTAATCTCAGCTAGCAAAGCATCCTTGTCGTCACTGCTGCCGTTCGTGGCTGGTGCAGCCTCGGAATCGCGCTGCTTTCGCTGTTTCGGCTTGCCAGACGCTTCAGTAGGCGGGTTCTTTCGCTTGTATGGATTGCCGTTCAATTTCGCTTCAATTTGAGAAGTGATTTGAGACATTCCGTTCTGAAGGCGCGCCGCATTTTCGTTTGAGCGCTGCGGCCCTTTGCTTTTCTTGGAATGCTTCGCCATAGCGTAGATGCGCCGCAATCTGGGTGGTAAAAATTGGCTGCTCCAAATTTCAGATCAGAATGCGATTCGATGCAAGTAATTTTTTGAAATATTTCTTATCTTATCGGCCCATCAGATGCGGGCGTTTATCGCGGCTACTCTTAGCGCAGCGCGTCTAAGGGACCATGTCAATGGTCTTGGATCTAGCACTCGCTCTTCATTGGTGGCCATGTTAAGATTTGTCTCTTGTGAGGTGCATAATCACTATCGTTTCTGGATAGTGATGTAAATTTCTAGAATGGATTGAAGTGTCAATCGCTGAACATGCGTGCTTCAAAAATGATCTACCGGGGCGGACTTCGCCCACTAACAGCTGCTCAACCCTCGAACCACATCCGAGTCTTTTCACAGCCGTTTTTTGCTCAGTCCTCCCGGCTTAGATCAACCCTGTCGAAGATATGGGCGCCCACTGGTGGTGTCACGGCCACTGAGGGCGAAAGTATGAAGCAATTTGCTTTCGGTTTTGATGGAATGTCGAGCTAATTGCTCGATAGCTGGTCATGGCAAGCTCATCCGAGCCGGATTTATTCGCCAGGTAGGGCGATCCTCATATCATGCATTATCTACTTTTTAAAGGCAATTTTTTAAATAGCTTATTTTCCCAGGCACAATCTGGAGTTTTTCAGCTGCTCCCACTGGGTCTACGAGTTCAGGATAAGATTGAGCGTCTTGTTGACAAGCATATGCAAAGCATAGGTTAGTCAACGTATTACTCTGAGAGTGTTTCTCAACTGATAGATATTTTTCTATAGGAGCATCCAAACTTGCTCTCTCGACTCTCACAACTGAAGAACTATGGCGCAAAAGTGGGCGCTTGGATAAAGTCTCACCAGAGGTATATCACTTTTTGCAAATTGCAGACGTCTCGTTGCTAATACTCGGGTAAGCTATTTCGACTCAAAGATCGCAAAGATGTGCCTATCATGCTGTCGCCAACACACGAGGAAGAAATCACATCCCTTGTCGCGAGCACTTTAAAATCTTATAAAGATTTGCCTTTAAAGTTATACCAGATTAGTATGGCCCTCTGAGCCTTGGTAGCTTTTGTCGTATATCACAGCTCCTAACTCATCTGCTAGCACGAAAGTACCGAGATGAGATCCGTCCCAGACACGGTTTATTAAGATCTCGAGAGTTTATCATGAAAGACTTGTACACTTTCGATTTGACCCACGAGTCTGCCGTCGAGACTTATCGCGACGTCGCTGGTGCCTACTCGGCCTTCTTCTCAGATTTGAAGCTGCCGATATTAGTAGCCGAGGCCAGCTCAGGAGACATGGGCGGAGAGCATAGCCATGAATACCACCTTTCTCATCCCATTGGGGAGGACACAGTCGCAAGCTGTAGCAGCTGCGGCTATACTGCCAATGACGAAGTTGCCGCTGCTCGGTCATCCCAACAAATTGACGGTGCAGTTTCTAAATCTCATTTCGGTCTTTGGCGCGGCATCACCAAGGACAGGAAAACTTTGGTAAATGCATGGTACCCAAAGATTGGAGATTCGCCTTCAGATGACAGCTGGAATATCCATGCTGTCAAATCTGTCGTTCCAGAACTAGATACAAGCGTCAGTGACGCCGTACCGTTCTGGGGCGAAGTTTTACAGGAGGCAAAGGGACAGAAAGACGAAATCCAACTCCTAAACGTCATTGATGCGAGACTTTCAGGGGCTTTTGAAGACCTTCAAGATGAGCTTCCTCTACTTCCACAGGAACTGACGAATAACCATATCTCACAATCATCAATAACGCAAACACAAGCCGGTACAGTTCTAAATCTCTTACGCATTGCAGACGGCGATGGGTGTCCGCGCTGTGACTCGGGAAAGCTTGAGATCCATCGCGCATTGGAGCTGGGCCACACATTTCTCCTTGGTACACGCTATTCAGAGCCGCTTGAAGCGTCTGTAGCGCTCCCACAGAACCCAGGGGTTCCAGTCCCAACCCAGATGGGCTGCTTTGGCATCGGCGTCTCTCGCATCCTCGGCGCCGTGGCGGAACAGCTCACCGACGATAAGGGGCTCAACTGGCCTCGGGCTATTGCGCCGTTTGAGGTGATCATTATTCCAACATCTGGCGTCAATGAACAGACACTGGATTTCTTCGATAGCTTAACAAAAGATGGAAACTCGACGACAGCCTTGGACGTCGTACTGGATGACCGCAAAGAAGCATTTGGATGGAAAATGCAAGACGCAGACATGACAGGCTATCCTGTCGTGGTTGTACTTGGAAAGGCCTGGAGAGAAAAGGGCGTCTGCGAAGTGCAGTGCAGGAGACTCTCCGTAAAGGAGAATGTGAAGGCGGAAGAGGTGCCCCAGTATATCAGAACCTTGCTGGAGCGGCTATAGATAGCCGTGAAGGTGTGCAGCGATAGAAGAGTCAGCAAATCTCCCATCTGGACCAAAACACATGAAATAAAGAGTTTAAAAAACCCGATTCAGTAAAAATCGAATCAAATATTATCAATAATCATTTTCGTTGCAATTAAATACGTAGCCATGCTGCACATTAAGCTGCGTTCCCATATCCTCGTTACAAGAATCGCCAGCCCCTCTACAGTCATCCGCCCAGCGGTTCAAGCTTGGAGGGGCACGACTCCCTAACGTCCAGCTTGGCCAAGCTTCCACTGTATCCCCCCAAAAACAACCAGCACGAGCAGCCATGTCGAGCGGCCAGAAAGAAGCAAGTAAGTTTTTGTTTGTTTCTATATCATCCATTTCCTGCTCTATCCAGTGTCTTTTCATTGCGCAGCAGCAGCAGCAGCAGCAGCGCTAACTCCAGCATATTTTAGTCAACCTCGACACCCTCGAGCCCCAGCAGCTCGCGCAGGTCAAGAAGCAGCTCGAGGAAGAGCTCGAACACCTCACAAACTCCTTCTCCCAGCTCCACGGCGCCCAGAACAAGTTCAGAGAATGCCTCCGATGCGTACAGAGCCGAGCCGCCGATAGCAAAGGTACATACATATATCATCGCAATCCCCATGGGTAGCCGACGAGTCGTGCAGATAGAAAGAGGCTATGGCAATGGAATGGAAATGATGCTAAAGCAGCGATGCAAACAGGCTCAAAGGCGGTTTTGGTCCCGTTGACCAACTCCCTATACGTAAGCGGCGAATTGACGAGTACCGAGACGGTTCTGGTGGACGTGGGCACAGGGTTTATGATTGAGAAGGTCAGTTGGCTTCTTCATCTTGCATCTTTCTTGCTGGTGAACCCTATAGCTAATACTCTGCAGAATTTAAAATCGGCTGAAAAGTTTTACAACTTAAAAGTCAAAGAGCTTGGCGACAACTTGAAGGAGTTGGAAGGCATTGTCCAGTCGAAACAGATGAATGTCCGCACAATAGAAGAAGGTACGTTTACACGGCTCGACAAAACCTTTTGCATTTATTAATTATATGGTTTTGACAGTTTTACGGCAAAAGATCATGGCTTCTCAGTCAGAAGGCCAGAGCTGAGAAATATAGTTGAAGAGAAAAAAAATTGAATAATGAATTGAATTGAATTGCGTAATGTGTCCATCAATCTGGTCAGTAGCTGCTCGTAACGGACACGTCTATTCTGTCTGTTGGTCCTCTGCTTTGTCCTCTGCCTTGTCCTCTGCTTCATCCTCTGCTTCATCATCTGCTTCATCATCTGCTTCATCATCTGCTTCATCATCTGCTTCATCATCTTGAAGAGAGTTTACCTGGTGCTGGACCTTCAAGAAGACTTCTAGGAAATTCCCAAATCTCTTCTCCAGATCAGGATCCGATCCAACCCAAATGTTCTTCAGTCCTTCTCCAAAGTCCTTTCTCTGGTCAACTGGACTGACTTGATTCATTGCAGAATCCCAGTGTTTGCCATAAAACTCCATTTGCCAATTAATCTTGCTCTCTGGCGCGCGAGTCTTGAGTCCCTCCCACTCCTGATTTATACTTATCTCCAGCACATATGGAGTGTCTTGAAACTCTGCGATAAACGATGTCTTCAGTCGAGTCCGGTAAATGTCATAGTTCCAGTATTTAGGGTCTTTAGTCACTACTACTTCAGAGGGCTGAAGAAAATTGGTTTCATCTTCGTCGCAGCCGTCCCTGAGTCTTAGCGTTTCGAGTAGTTTCAAGAGATCTTTCGGTACGCTCTTGTATTTCCACGTTTCTGCATGAAGTTTCCAGTCAAATATCCTATCACCTCTTTATATCAGTGCTGTGCGCACAGTAGATGGCCTCTTATAGCAAACTTACATTTCTGGAGCCGTCACTTTCCAATCGATGTAGGAGACTGGCGAGCTAAGACCAAGCTTAGCTCGGGATAATGCGGACTCATCGCTCGTCCAGTTTTCCACCTTTAACTCTCTTTCGTTGCTCATGGTGAGGTACAAGGTGTGTGTGCGTTTCAGGCTTTTGCGATCCAGACGAAGGTCATCAGCACCGTCATATTCCAGCATACAGTTTATGATGTAATTCGCAAGACGGAATTCCTTGAAACTTCAAATATAGTCAGTATGGAGAAACAACGAAGAAATGACGAGGGGGTATCGTTGTCTGTGAGAGCTACCGAGTACTAAAATGAAGACCACTTTGGTTTGAGTACAGTTTCACTTGAGCTGCGTACTCATCCCAGTTGATTAGATTTGCTTGGTCTTTCCCGAATGTATCGTCATCCAAGAGCGTGAAAGACACACGCATTCTGATTTCGGAATTGGAACTTTTTAGGCATTTTATAGCAGCTTGAAGATGCGGACGAAGCTCTTGGAGAAGTGCCGCCACAGTTTTTGGCATATCATCAGGCTCGGTAAACCGTTTGGATACTCGAGGTCTTTGATTGGGATGGAATCGTATACGAGTGTCGTCGGTTACTCTTGAGCTCTTTTGGGGAATTATCACCGAAGTCAAAAGGTCTCTCGATATGCGCGCATCATGAAAACATTGGTTGAGAGTATTTATAGCTGCTTGGAGATTGGTCACGGACTCGCTAAAGATTTTGAGCACGTTTGGACTCTCTGGCCCATCGGCAACAATCCAAACTTGATGCCGTTGCCGAACAGCATCCATTTCGCTGTCATGTGTCGTAAACTGTGTAGCATAGAAGCCATATTCTTTAATGGATGTCACAAAGGTGGCCTTATAAATGATCAGTGTCTTTCGAGCAATTGGGATGGATTGGTGAATACAAGAGCAGTATGAAAGCTATCGATGCCACTTACTTCTAGCAGATCTCTACCAGCAGGCGGCGGCCCGCGATAGTCTCCGGCAACGAAACCGACGGTTAGTTGCCGTATGTCATTCATTTGTGACTTGGCAGTTGCCATTCTTTTTGGCGAGGCCCAAAATTTCCTTGGCCCTTCATTCTGTCGACTTGGGTTATGGAAATTTCGATGCCTAGGCGGCCGAGAGCTTGCCTGAAGCTTGCCTCTGTTCATCTCGGTAATTTGCAGCCAAAGTTGCCCTAGAAGCTTGTAAAGTGCCTGAAATAGATCTGAAGGTTGATAGTATGAATAAATAAGATGAAGAGATACAATGCGAAGAGAGGCTGTGGTGTATGATTTGAGAAAGAACAAGGGGGAGGTGGTCAGGTGCCAGCAAGTCTACTAGTAGATACATGTAGCCTACCGAAATTGAGAGCCTGAGGCGGCTCTGTGACGGCAAGGAATGAAGTGAAAGAGAAGTGAAAGAGATGCTCGCGGCAAGAGGCATCTGCTGGCCAGCAGTCAATCACTGCCAAGCACTTGCAGGTTCCCGTTTGGCAGAATGCGAGTCTACGTCGCACATACGCCAAAGATGCTCTGTAAATGATGCAGCTAGCTGTATTACCCATCCATTGTTTCTTTGCTATAGCTTTCATCGTATCAAAGATATAATACAACAATCTCACAGCCGATCCCGACAATGGCGTGAAGCGTATCCTACCTAGCTACGTACACTGCTTCACTTTGATCAGCCACTGTCATTGCATAGCACTTCCACTGACCAAGCATAATATATTTTAGTATTTCCAATAGATACTCATAAATACACGATATTTAGAGCCGTAATATTTTGCATTTCTTCGTCTTTATTGGTAGATAGATACTGGATGGTGTGCTTGCTGTGTAGTGGACATATATGCATCAATTGACTATGCACATATCGAGTTCTCTCCGGCGCGTCTCCCAAAAATCCAGACGCGTTAATTGATCCAGGCCACTAAGCTACCCTACTAAGTGCTGGGTGTAACTTGCTGAGCTGCTTTAAGCTCCATGATTCATTTGCAGCTCAATCAAATGCTGTCACTGCTCTGATTATATTTTCAAGGATACGACAATTCACCCAGGACACTAAACTCTAGCTCATCAAGCCGCACAGTAGCAGTCTTTAAGATCCATTCATCTTTATCCCGGCATCCTCGCCAATGACGGCCCAAACCACTCCTCAAACCAATTCTCACTCGACCCGAGGGCGCAAACGTGCTTTTTCTGCAGCAGTAGCTAGCGAAGAATCAGACAATAATTCCGAAACCGAAGAAATATCATGGGAATGGATATACAGCACCGAACACCCAGATAATGGCGAAAAGGGCGACGGGGATCGCAAGAGGAGGAGAGTTGCGGCCAGTTCCAAGATTGTTGGGGCCAGATATGGCGATTTCGAATGCCGCGTTGGAGACACGGTGATGCTCAAGGCGGCCGATGGGTCCATTGGAGCATGGGTAGCCATCATCTGCGATTTCCAGGAGGACAGCGAGACTGGCGAAATGAGCGCCAATTTCATGTGGTTCTTGACAGAGAAGGAGATCCGTAACAAGGGAAGAAAGCGAGAAGACTTCTACTGGGTATGTACAGTTGCTATTCCCTTTTATTCTTTCAACGAAACATCATTCTTCTAACCAACAATCTAGAACGAGCTGTACATCTCGCCATCCTTTGACGTAAATCCCCTGGCGTCGATCAATGGCAAAGCCAACATCATGTCCCAGGACGCCTTTCTCAGCGCGCATCCCTCCGGAAAGATATCACGAAACTCACCAGATTTTGGGAAAACGTTTGTATGTCGCCGTGGCTGCAACACCCGATCTACTACATACACGGACGAGTTTGTATGGGAAGAAATTTATGAGAATGGGGACGTATCTGCCTTGAAAGACTTCGTAGAGAAGAATACCAGAGCAACCCGTCGAAAACCTCGAGCTCAATCACCGCCAAACGCCGAGGGCACATACCTACCGCCTCAAACACCAACTAAGACAAGCAGAAACTCAGCGACAACCCCCAAGTCAAAGCGAGGGCCGAGGAGTGGCGGAAAGAAACTCGAGTTCACGCCTCTAGCTACTAGAAAGCTGTCGCCTAGCCAAATTCAATCTTCTCCGTTCCAGATTGCACGTTCACGCCTTCACGTCTCAGCAGTACCCTCTAGCTTGCCTTGTCGTGAAGGAGAATTCTCACTGGTATACTCACATTTAGAAGCCGCGATCACGGAGGGCACTGGCAACTGTATCTATATCTCCGGGACTCCGGGAACTGGAAAGACGGCCACGGTACGAGAAGTCATTTCTCGCCTTGAAGAAGCTGTCGGTTCAGACGAATTAGACGACTTCATATTTGTTGAGATTAACGGCATGAAGATTACAGATCCTCACCAAGCATACTCGCTGCTATGGGAAGCTATCAAGGGTGAACGAGCAAGCCCTGCCCAGTCTCTCGACCTCTTGGAGCGAGAGTTCAGTAATCCTAGCCCACGACGTGTTCCATGCGTGGTGCTGATGGACGAACTCGATCAGCTAGTCACGAAAAACCAGGCAGTCATGTACAACTTTTTCAACTGGCCAACCCTCCGGCACAGTCGTCTTATCGTACTTGCAGTAGCCAACACGATGGATCTTCCAGAGAGAACTTTGAGCAACAAGATCAGCAGTCGTTTAGGTGCGTACAACGAAAACTAACATCCGTCATTTAGAAAAGCAAGATGTCTAACAGCTTCAACATAGGCCTTACTCGTATCACTTTCCCCGGCTACAACCACGACCAGCTTATGAAAATCATACAATCTCGTCTTGAAGGCGTACCGGGAAACATTGTCGATGCAGATGCCGTTCAGTTTGCGAGCCGTAAAGTAGCTGCTGTCAGCGGAGACGCCAGACGAGCGCTGGATATCTGTCGTCGAGCGGTTGAGCTGGCAGAGGGCGATGCTCCTGGCGACCCAATGACTCCAAGCAAAAGAGCGAATGAAAATGGAGTTCCCGACCAGTCTCGGCGAGGCAGAGTGACCATCTCTACCATCAAGAGAGCTATCAATGAGGCCACGACCAATCCCATCCAACAACATCTGCGTGGCCTCCCTCTTACGTCGAAGATGCTTATGGCAGCACTGCTACTAAGAATCCGAAGATCTGGTCTGGCTGAGACGACTCTTGGCGAAACTCTAGACGAACTTCAGCGCTCTACGGCTTATGCCGCCCGTCCACCTCCAGGCATGGCCCAGATCCTTCCCGGCCTCGGCAAGGGGAACCAAGGCGGTCGGCGCATGGTGGGACGGCCACAATACATCCATGCCGCGGCTCTAGAGCTGGTTGCGGCTGGTCTGGTTAATTTAGAGGCCCATCGAGCGGACCGGTCAAGCAAGTTGCGGTTGGCTATTGCTGACGACGAGGTGAAGATGGCGCTGCGCGATGACGCGGATCTCAAGTCCATGGGCCTGAGCGTATGAACGGAACGGCTCTCAATACTTCCTACGTTATGCACGCTTTAATGAACTATTGTGTACACTAAAAGTTTGACAGGTGAGGAAGGGTAATGAAGGAGAAAAGAGGATTTGATTAGATATTTTGTACTTCAGCGTGTGTTGGTGAATTTGGATACCAAAAATAGCAATGAGATTACGAAGCAGATCAACTCATGGATATGTACAGCACATTGATTGTTATCATTATAAAACAAGACACATTTCTTTTACCAACATTGGCCCAAAATAATTAATACACGTGTCATCTTGCCTGGCTACTAGTATTTCTCCTCCGTGAGTGTCAGAGATGCATCAAATGCCATAAATAATGCATGTGCCCATCCGCCAGTGATTTGCGGTGCAAGTTCTATTCTTCTCCCGTTGCCGCTTGATATATATACTTGGTAAAACTCGAGAATTAAGAACAAAAATCAGATAGCATTACTCCCCATAAACTCCTGGCTAAAATTTCCTTTGCGCCAATGTTGGCGTCCATTGTATCGGATGCGTCTCCTCGGACGCTTTTTCATCTGGTTTCCATATTTTGACTGTGGGAAAAAGGAATTAGCATGCGCACATATCAATGGAATGTGGAGAACCCCATCGAAGAAACACTTACTAGTCTTGTCGGCCTCGCCCGTAATGAGACGCAGTCCAGAGCGGTCAAACGTCGAGCTCATGATGCCTGACTCGGCGTCTAATGAGCCCGGCTGAGCTGTTGTCTCAAAAGATTGGAATCGGTGGCCTGACTTCCAGTCCCAGAAGCTCATTGAGCCATTGTCACCTGAAGTTTGGGGTTAGTTATCAATCATGGCCAGTATGTGCTACTAAGGAAGAGAGATACGTACCACCTGAGAAGAAAACATTGTTGCTATTTACGCTCATGGTGTTGATGATGGCATTGTGGCCCTCAAAGTTCTGCATGAAAGCGCCTTCCGGGCATTTCCACTGCTTAATGCTGCCGCTGCTACCCGACGCAAAGGTGAACTCGGTAGGATGGACAGCCAACGCTCGAACGCCCTTTTTGTGGTGGGTGAGAACGCCCATGGCCTTTCCGGCCGCCAGGTCCCATAGCCGGACGGTAGAGTCCAATGATGCTGTAATCACTTGGGGATCTGCCTCCTGACATTGGACATCAGTCACAGTACCAGTATGGCCCGACAAAACGTGAATGTTGCTGCGCGTCCGCATATCCCAAACTCGAGCAACGCCATCTCGACCACCGGTCACCAAGACATCCAGCGTCGGGTGCAGCGCCAATGTGTAAACGCCACTAAGATGGCCATGGTAGTGGCGGATCACCTTGTTCGTCTCCAGATCCCAGCACTTGACCATCTTGTCCTCGCCGCAGGAGAAGAGATACGGGTGTCGTGGAGACACAGCCAGGCCGCGCACGGTGCTAATGTGTCCTGTCAATGTCAATCGCAGCGACCCCGTGGCGAGATCCCAGATCTTGATCGTCCTGTCGCCAGCACCGCTAGCAAACCACTTGTTCCCAGGCTCGACTGCCAAGCTGCGCACCCACCCCAAATGGCCTGAGATGACCCTCATCAGCTTCCACGGCGGGTGCCATTCGGGCTTGACTTGCTGGATGGCCGGTGATCCTCTGACTGTCAAGCTCATGCTCTGTGGTACCGTCGTTGTCGAAATCGTCGGCTCGTCTCCGTTGGCCTTGGACGCAGTCGGTGATGCTCCAGGTCCAGCCTCAAGAAGTTTGGGTGCTTTTCGCGCCGGTCCTCCAGCCTTGGCCGCTGTCTTCCGTAGTGGTTGCTTCGATGGTTGTTTCGCCGCAAGCGCTTCGGGCAGGGTCTGGACAGCCGCGTATTCGGCCTCGAATCGACGCTTCATGACGGCATCTTCGAAGACGTCCTCGAGCTTCTGGCGCTTGCCGTTGGACAATTCGAGCCGAGAGTAGAGATGCCTCGTCGTAGAGGCATTTTGAGACGCGAGCGCACTCAGATGGAGCGCGTCTTGAGGCGTCTGTGGTGCCTCCATGGACACGCAAGAAAGATGCAGATAATTGGAACACAAAAAGATGGGATTTGGAGTCGATTCGCGTTTGTAGAACAAAAAAGCATCTGCAAGAGGCGAACTTGAATTGAACTTGCGAGGTTCAGCCTTCTGTGGCGCAGGCGCTGTGGGGTGCATGCATGCTGCAGTCCAGACTGTGGCGCACCAACAAAATACAGGCGGCGAGCACCCAGTACGCAATACAGCAGTGGCCTGGAAGCTTCAGTTACAACGCCTTACCCTGCAACTTTGGGTTTCTTGCCCAGCTACATCTCCTTCTCTATCACTCAAGAATCTATTGCTCTCTTTTTTACCGGAAACAGCTTCTTTGACAAAGATCCAATATATACGAGATACAAGCGACGCATTGTTCTCACCATGGCGGATACAGATAGCGATAAATTTCCGCTGCACACGGCTGCAAGAGAAGGCAGAGGTATTGAGCGCTTGATCATACCCACACATTTGGGCTTTACAAAGCTAACATGGCCCAGTCTCTGTAGCAGAAGGTCTCCTCAAGGTAGGCTAAAAAAAAACGACAAAACCAATACGCATAAGCATCTAGGAAGATGAATCTCAAATCATTTACTAACACCTACATTTCATAGACGGATCCCAAGCTCTCAAAACGCAAAGATGACGACGGCAGATACCCCGTTCATTGGGCAGCTTCTTCCAACAGCTATGATATTCTCCTCATGTTAGCAAACCAGTCAAGCTTTGACCCTGATATCCAGGTAAATGCGTCTTCCTTTTCGAGTAAAGTCATCGTCATCGTCGATTTCCGGCATCTAAATGAAAGACAAGTTTCAACTTAGCTTACTCACACCAAACTTGTCTACAAAACATAGGACGACAGCGGCTGGACTCCCCTCATGATCTCAGCCAGTGTTCAAAACAGCGAGCCAGCATTAAATCTGCTGCTCCAAAGGGGCGCTGACGTTAACATCAAGAGTAAGTCACTGCCTCAACTAGACTATCTAACTCTTGGCTATTCGCTGCTCATGTGCCTAACTAACTCATGTCCTAGATAACAACGGCCAAGTGAGTCAAAGATATCCCTGTATTCTGAAATAAGATCAGATACAACTTATGCGTATGGAGATACTACAGTACAGTTCAGCTAACACCAACCCCCAGACAGCCCTCCACTTCGTCGCCTCCAAAAAGAACCTCGACGTCGCCCGCCTCCTCATCAGCTCCAAACCCCCAGCATCAACCCGTGTCCGCGATCGCCGCGGCCAATACCCCATCCACCGTGCCGCGGCCGTCGGTTCCGTGCCCATGGTGATGCTCCTGCTGAAGAACAGGAGCCCCCTGAATGCGACGGATAATGAGGGCTTCACCCCTCTTCACCATGCTGTCGCGGAGGGTCACGGTATGTATCGCATGCCACAGATATCTCATGGGGAGGCAATCGAAACACAAAGCTAATATGACGTGTGGTATAGGAGACACTGCCGTTGCTCTTCTGAAAGAGGAAGCTGATTTTACACTCAAGACTACCGACGGAGAACTTGCTATTGACCTGGCTCCAGACAAAGAGGTAAGGACACCCTGATGAGATACCTCATCTCACAGTCATCTCCCCCTTCATACACGGATTTCATGTATGTATATATTGGACTGACGTGCCATTAACAGGTCCGCCAATTTATCATCCAAGGCGCTGAAAGAGAAGGCATCCAGCTTGTTGACTAATTATTAGCAAGCTTTATCAGATATAACAGCTGCCGACAGGGGAATGATATAGTAGTGCATAAAAGTGTACAAGTCTAATCTACATAGGATACCACGCTTTGTCATTCCAAATCATTGCGTTTCATTACGCTTTTCCTTCCTTCCCCTTGTTTCTGTGTCCTTCTGAAATTCTCCCTGCTTCCCCCTTTCTAGCCCAAACCCATGAACAAGCCACACTTATTTTACAGTTCGCTCTACCAATTCCCGATACATCGTCTTCACGTCATCTACATCCGCTCTCAGCTCCTCAACCAGCTCACTCTTCTCTCCTAATAACTCCAAGGTAGTTTGGTATCTCGTATCCAGTTCGGCAACTTCCCTTTCCAGATCCGGCACCCTTGCAGACGCTGCCTTTGCGTCCTCCAAATCCTTCATCAGGCTTACCATATCTGATCTCGCCTCATCCCTCTGACTACACACCCTCGCCATCTCTTCCTTAGCAGCAACTCTTTCAGCTTCTAGACGACGTATTGCGGCGCTCATCCGTTCTACTAATTGAACAGACGGACCTGCCGCCACCGTCGACACTGAAATCATATCTTGTGCTAAATTGCGAGGCGACGAAGGGGCCGTATCGCTGATCCCATTTTCTCTCTCTGTTACAGACGGAGGTATCGTAGGTGGTGATTCCAACGGCTGATCCAGAGGAGAGAAGGGAGATGGAGGAACGGATCCGGAAAGTGAAAGTGGTCCTGTCCCTATACGAGGCGGTAGGTATGCAGAAGACCGGCGAAGAGGACTGAATCCTTCTGCTGCGGTATCTAGTATATTTACAGGAGTGGGAGATCGTCGAATGCGGTTGGGAACAGATAATGAGACAGCTTCGGAGCTGAAAGTCCGTGGGACGGAGAGCAACGGTGACTCTGGGCGGCTTTGGGTTCGTGATGATGCTGCACCCGCAACTTCATCGATCCATTGTCGCCCTGATTCAGCCGTAAAGGCTCTGCTTGAGGCCTGCTTCTCCTTGTCTAGGTCCGTGCGGGTTAGTTCGAGAGCCGTCTCGGTAGCTTTTGAAGACTTTTGGAGAGCAGCCATCTCTTCGCGGCAGGATTCTAGCTGCATCTGAACATCTTGTAGCTCATCTTCGAGAGTTCTGCTACGCTTGGCCTATGGTAAGAAAGTTAACAAAAAAAATACTATATGTTGATGGATGTATATCGACCAGAAATGAGGAAAGGGTTGAAATTGCATGAAACATGTTAGACGTACCGCATCCCGTGCCTTCTTGCGCATTTCAGACTCTCGGCGCTGTGCCTCATCTCTCTCACTCTCCAGGCTGGTCGTTTTCGACATCAACGACGCTTCAATGCCCTGCCAGTTTTGCCTGGCCGACGCATACTGTGACTGCAACGTCTCTATCTGCCGGAACAACTTGGCCTGAGCCTCGCCTCCTGTGCTAGAGGCAGCTTCTTCCGCGGTTACTCGTACACCTTCCAGCTTGCCCTCCATGCTCCGAAGCTCAAGACGTAGCTCAGCTTCGACGGTGTTACCGCGCTGGATGGCACGCTCGAGCTTTTCGCTCGCTTCTATGGCATCTAGTCGGGCCTTTTCACCCAGAGCTTCCAATTCCGCTCGAACGGCGTCATTTGCCTCTTCGAGTTCCTTTTGTTTCACTCGCTCTGCGGCCACGGCCTTGCTGACAGCATCCGCCTTGGCAACCTGCCCTTGCTCCTCCTTCGACTTTACTTCCTGTTCAAGCCGACGAATCGTAGCGTCTTTGTTGGCATTGTCCTTCTTCAAGGCGTCAATTTCCTTCCGCAGAGCTGCAGTAGCTTTGGTGGCCTCCTGCCGGCGCTTTTCCTTCTCTTCATCTCCGTCTAAGCGGTCGCGCAGCGCTTGAATATCCAATGACATTCTGTCCTTTGCTTTCCGTGCTTCGTCCAACTGCTTATCGCGCTCGCCCACTTGAAGCCGCAAAGACTTGATCGCTGCTCGATACTTTTGCTCTGCTCCAGCCAATTTCTGGCCTTCCTCCATCAGCAGCGCGATCCGCTCGTCCTTCTCTGCGAGCTTCTTCTCCTGGCTACCAGATGGTGCAGCTGACGCAGCCTGCTTTGCAGAGTCGGCGGCATTTTTAGAGAGATACTGGAGTTTGGACTGTATAGAGTCTATGCGTTCAACGTACTCTTGAATCTCCTCTCGATGTCGCAACTTTGCTTCCTCAAGCTCGCGAGCCAACTCGGCAGCATCAGGTCCATTTTCTACAACCGTTGCTGCCGCATCAGTATCCGTCAGAGTTTCGTCTTTCACCACTTTTGTCGAGGTTTCCTCCTCCTCTGTTGAAGGTGCCTCATTGAGCCCCTGTTGCCCTTCTGTTCCTAAAAGGGTATCCTCTGCTTTTTCAGCAACTGGCTCCGAAGTAGACTCTGTAGCCGCATCATCGTCTGTTATTGTAATCGGTATTGTCGTCGTCTCCGTAGTCGTCGTCTCTGTAGAGGTGGTTGTGGGATCAGGGTCAATTTGAGGCGACTCCGTCTCGGATGCGGGCTTCTGTTCCGGCAGATTCTCAGACTTGTCTTGATCCATCGAGGGCCTCTCCATGGAGCTTCGGCTCGCCGCATCGAAGGAGCTGCGTGGTGACGCATTCGCCGGCGAAAGCGCATTCTTGTTAGCCAAGGCCTTGGCCAGCCTTGCTTGTAGTCGATCATTTGCGCGGCTGGTCGACGATGCTCGAGAGTCTGTTGTCACGAATTGCCTTTCGATTAGCTGCTGGGGCTGGTTTTATGGGCATCTCATTGCTGGGAATCCTCTTCACCCCTCTCTTGCCCTCCCCTCGCTTATTCTCCGCCGCATCATCACTCACTCACCAGAGCTCGTCACTTTTGGACTGGCAGTTGTAGGTGTCGTCGTCGCCGCAGCAGCAGCAGCCGCCGCAGCCGCAGCCGGTGGCGTCGCACTGCGATCATCGTCCGACTCGGCCAGGATGTTGTCCAAGCGGGACTCGACGCCCGCCACGGCCTGCTGTAGAAACGAGCCCCATCGCGACGCCTGCTTCCCCGGCGCACTCATGGTGTAGCAAACAAGAAAAGAAAAGAAAAGGGCCTTTTGAGTCTTTGCGATGCAGCGTCCCCTTTCGGCCCCTGGAGGCAGAAAGGGCGTTTACGGCAGCAAAAGAGAGACTGGCAGCCTGAACTGACGTGGAAGTAAAAGTAATAACAGTTGGTCGGTTTGATGTCAATTGGAAAAGAAGCCGTAGGCCGCGCCACCCCCAAAAAGGCGAGGTTGAAAACGGCCTTCCGTCGACCGGGCCAGGGCAGGAAAGGCTAAATCTAAAAATGGCGGGCTCTAATACGACCCCTCTATAGCACAATGACATGCTGCCAGAGCTGTTTACAATCTACAGCTATCCAAAACGCAACCCGATATCGATGGCACTTGCTGGTTTTCATACCTAGCTTTAGAGATACCATTTTGTGACGATGGATGATTGTTTCATAGATACATGCACACGACGGAACTCCCTTCTCTAATATTCTCTGCACGTACATCTTACAGCCAACAATTGATACAGAACCGATTCCGGTATAGGCCGTGGGGGAAAGCCACCTATCACCTGTCACCAAGTATCCAAGATGCAGTGATCACATCCTAGCATCACCTTAATCCACTGCAATACTTGCACCCAACACCTGGTTAGTAATTCGTAGATGCACCTACACAAATGCTATACAGGTACGCAGATAGTAAATGCCAACAGAGGCACCACATGCAGCTTTACAAACGGCAAATGACTCGTTTTGCCCGGCTCAAGTGCCCTCTACCTATACACGGCTACGCTACTGCAAACACGGAGCACACACTAGGATTTCAGCCCAATTGATATCATTTGCGAGTCCAAGATTCCAACAGCTACCCAGATACCCACAGCGCATATGCAAGATAAAGACACAAGTAGAAGAAAGAGATAAAGAGGAAAAAAAAAAAAGTACAGATACCCAGTAATCCGAGGCAATTTTGCATCATTCATCTCCCGTCTCATGATAAAAAAATCAAAAAGTGATACACACAACACAACCTGGCCTCCAGCGACCCAATTCCCAATTCAGAAAGCCGTTAGAAACAACTCGTACATCATATCAAACATCGCCGACGAAACGAAGAACGGAATTGATAAGAGAAACCCGAAATGAAACAAAATCTCATCTCATCCCATCGCTACACTATGAATGGGATAGAAATTGCCTGTAAATGTCCGGGATGGACTGGCCCGAAATCCCGGAAAAAATTGACTGAGCTGTAATAAATAGGTATTGATACGGTAATGCCGCCTTTTGCCGCTATAGCAGCGTCTGAAGTTGAAAATAATCATCATGTCATGACAAGCGAAGACAAAACCAGACAGAACGCAGAACAGAAGAGTTGGAGAGCAAGAAAGAAAACAAACATATTGAGACGTGTAGGTCATCAAACAAAGAAATTAAAGAAACAAAAAGATCAAACACGCTTGCTCAAGATTCATGCGACTCTCGAATTTCATCCGGCGAGCTTTCTCCACCAGCTGCTCCGAGGCGCTGGCTCTGCGTATGCGGCAGAATCTCGTCGGCTTCGATGGCGTTCATCGCTTCCTTCTGATGCGCCATTGCGCTTCTCCTTCTCGCGCTCTCGTCTCTCTCGCCTCTCTCGGCGGCGTCTCTCGTCTGCATCTTCAACAGGCACTTCCTCGTGCTTGGCTCGTCGCCGAGCGCGCCGGGCCTCACGCCGGGCCTGTTCGTCCTCCGTGTGCTGCACCGCATCTGTCATATGTCCAGCATCATCTAGATGCGGAGGTGGATCTGAATGCTCCTTGACCCAAGAGGACGTCCCAGAGTGTGGCCACATCCCGGGCGCAGCTCTCTTGCCGTCTCGTTCTCGTCGACGCTCCTTGGCCGGATATACATGATCATCTACCGCAGGCTCAGTGTGGCGCCGACTGATCTTCCTCGGCCTGCTATAGGCTTCCTCCTCCTCGGCAGCAGCTTTAGCGGCACGCCTTGCCTCACGTCTACGCTGTCGTTCGGCGGCTTCATCGTCAGACGGTTCAGCGTGGGACCTGCGTCGCTGGCGTTTCGACGTTCTCTGTACGTCTTCCTCTCTCTCCCTTTCTCTATCTCTCTCCTTCTCCCTCTCCCTTTCTTTGCGCAGACGTCGTTCCGCTCGTCGAGCCTCTCGCTCTTCCGTTTCACGTTGTTCATCTGCTTCGCGTTGGCGAGCAGCCCGTCGCTCACGACGAGCTTCTTTCTCTGCCAATTTACGAGTCTCGCTATCATCTCTGCGCTTCCGTCGTCGCTCACGATCATCACCGGTCCGCTCTGACTCTCGCTCTGACTTTCTGATCTTGCGGCTAGATACTCGTGGACCTTCTCGGTCTGTCTCTACCGCGGGTATGTCGAAATCTACGCCAGTCTCAACCTTGGATGCTCTAGGAGTCATGAAACCGCTAAAGAGCCCGCCCAATCCCGCCTTCTTTGAAGTCGAAGCCGCTCGCCTGTGTGAGTGTTCGGGGCTGGAGGGTTCTGCCGGCATGACGACTTCATCTTCGCGAGATCTCCTGTTTCGATGTCTTTCCTGTGGATAATCTGGGTGAGGATCATCGCCAAGAGCTCCCATCATAACAGCCTCTTCCTCATCTTGGTAATGCGCCCTGCGAGACCTTCTTTTCGACGCTGACTTGTCGAATCCGAGGATTTTGGCAGCCTTCGATGTCACATCAGGAGACTCTTCTGGGGGTGGAGAAACAAGGCCGTGGCTAGTAACGGTATTCCTCCTGGGCCTAGGAGGCCTGCTGCTGTCGTTCATACTAGATCGCCTCTCCTTTTCTCGTGTAGACATTGATCTAGTGGGAGGTTTGCTGCTGAATATCCCTGTGAGTCGGTCCCGCCCTGAAGACTTGCCCGACTTTTCTGCTCGCTCCGCCCTGTCAGAAGTGGAGTCTCTGGAAGACGCCTTTTCCACTGTCCGCCGAGACGATCGTTCCGACTTGTGCTTAGATGATCGCTTCTCTTCTCTTTCTCTCTCTCTGCGCGGAGGGGATGCCACAGCAGGCCATTTCTCCTTCTCTCGGCTGGATCTTGACCTTTCTTTCCTCGATGATTTTGGCTCCGGCGGTGGCGTCAAAGGCGCTTCGGGGACGACAGGAGGAGGCGGTGGTGGTGGTGGTGGTGGCATCGGCATTTGCGGAGGCGGAGGAGGCATATCCTCCTCCTTGGGTCGCCGCCTCTTAGACTTTCTTTCCTTCCTTGGCCCTTCGTCAATGATGGCAACAATCTCATTTTCGTCGCCATCATCGCCAGGGAATCCCCCTGGAACGTCTGAAGGTCTTCGATGCCTTCGTGATGTGCCCCTATCGCCTCTATCCGGAAAGTCTACCGGTACTGGTACGACTACTGGCTCCTCCGCCTTTCTTCTTCTCCTGGAGCGATCATCCTGAGGAGGTCGCGGCTCCTTCTTCCTGGTTGGCGTCTCTTCTATGACATCTCCATAGTGTAGGCCATCGTCCTCCTGTTCAAAGTCAGCTGCTGGTTCTTCTCTAGCCACCGGTTCATCATCCACCGCTTCGACTTTTGGTATCTCTGCGGCTTCCTCTTCTTCTTCATCCGAGTTAGATGCTGGCGGGGGCGGGAATAGTGGGCGGACGGGATCGGCTACTTCTTCAGGTGTTTGTTCGAATGGTTTAAGGCCATTAGCAATTCTACCGCCCAGGGATCTTGATCGCTCTGAGGATTTCTGCGATCGGTCGTCATTTGATTTAGTCTCTAGCTCCGGCTCCGGCTCATCTAAGGTTATTGATCTTAATTAGCAATCTTCCTTCAAAATGGATGACACAGTCCAAACATACCTTTTGGCTTCGACTTCCTACCACCGAGGCCCCAGAAGCTGAATGCACCTGCTGCGCCCGTCTCCTTGGGCGCAAGCAGCGCTTCAATCTCAGCAGGGCTCATATCAAAATCAGGATCTGCTTTGGGCCCCGACTCTGGCTGAGCATCTCGCTCCGCTTCTGCCTCGGATGGAAGATCCCGCGACTTCTTATCCTTCTTGTCCTTTTTGTCTTTCCTATCCTTCTTTTCCTCCTTCTCCTTCTTGTCTTTCTTGGAGCTCTTCTTCAACTTCTTGGCCGCCTCTTCAGCTTCTCGTGCAGCTTCCTCCTCAGCCTCTCGGGCAGCTCTCTCTTCTTCCTCACGAGCAGCTGCCTCCTCTTCTGCCGCTCGAATGGCTTCTTCGTCATCATCAGCGTCGATATCGTCGTCGTCATCGTCGTCATTAGCATCGTCACCCGTCTGAAAAACATCCATCATCTCCTCGTCTCCATCCTCGTCCTCGTCATCTTCGTTTTCCTCGGCATTGGCAGCGGCCAGCTCAGCTTCGCGCGCAGCTTGCGCCTCCTTTCTCTTGGCCGCCTTCTCTTTAAGATGGCTCAGTCGTTCGCCGTCCTTCTTAGACAGTTTGCCCTTCTTCTCTCTCTTGTGTCGCAAGTCGGACATCTCTTTTTCCTCTTCGGCGACTGCAGCTGCTTCAGCGGCCGCTTCCTGAGCAGCTTGCTCAGCCTCTAGAGCAGCCTGCTTTTCGGCCTCGCGAGCCGCTCTCTCATCGGCATTGGCCTGAAGCTCATTCAGCCTCTTCTCAGCCTTGTATGAGAGGCCCATAAACGAGTTGGCCTTTCTATCAATGAGCTGTGCCAGTTCGTCTTCTTCCTTGGCGATCGCCTCAGCCTCTGCCGCTTCTTGAGCAGCTCGTTCCTCCTCTTCCTGAGCTAGTCGTTCAGCTTCTGAAGCTGCTTGCTCTTCAGCTTCTCGAACGGCCTTCTTCTCAGCTCGCTTTGCCGATCTCGCTTGCAGCTCACTCAACCGCTGCTCTTCTTTGCTCGACAGGCCCCTGAATGTCCTAGTCTTCTTCTTTTCGACTAGCTCAGCAATCTCTTCCTCTTCTTTGGCGATGGTAGCAGCCTCCTTCGCTTCTCGGGCAGCCTTTTCTTCTGCTTCCCGAGCAGCCTCTTCGGCTTCTCTAGCCGCCTGCTCCTCAGCCTCTTGTGCAGCTTTCTCTTCTGCCCTCTCGTCAGCCCTGGCTTGCAGCTCACTCAAGCGCTGTTCTCCTTTGCTTGTCAGGCCCTTGGTCTTCTTCTTTGCAAGCAGCTGAGTGATTTCTTCTTCTTCCTTGGCGATTACGGCGGCCTTTTCCTCTTCTTCCCTAGCTATTCGCTCAGCTTCCAATGCAGCTTGTTCCTCGGCTTCCTGGGCAGCTTTCTCTCCGGCCCTCTTTGCAGCTCTGGCCTGTAGCTCAGTTAACCGCTGTTCGCCTTTACTCGTCAAACCCTTGGCTTTCTTCTTCGCGAGTAGCTGAGCAATGTCTTCCTCTTCCTTGGCGATTGCGGCGGCCTTCTCTTCTGCTTCTCTAGCCAGTCGTTCAGCTTCCAAGGCAGCCTGCTCCTCAGCCTCTTGGGCAGCTTTCTCTTCGGCTCTCTTTGCCGATCTTGCCTGGAGGTCGCTTAGTCGCAGCTCTCCTTTGCTGGTTAGGCCCTTGGCTTTCTTCTTCGCGAGTAACTGCACGATTTCTTCCTCTTCTTTGGCGATTGCAGCTGCCTTTTCCTCCGCTTCTTTAGCCAATCGTTCAGCCTCTAAAGCAGCCTCTGCCTCAGCTTCTTGGGCAGCCTTTTCTTCAGCCCGTTGAGTAGCTCGGGCTTGTAGCTCACTCAGCCGCTGTTCTCCCCTACTCGATAGGCCTCGGAATGAAGACTGCTTTTCAATTAACTGAGCAATTTCTTCCTCTTCCTTTGCGATTTCAGCAGCCTTTTCCTCTTCTTCTCGGGCTAGTCGTTCAGCTTCCAAGGCAGCCTGCTCTTCAGCCTCGCGAGCGGCTTTTTCCTCGGCTCTTTTCGTCGCTCTAGCTTGTAGCTTGTTTAATCGCTGCTCGTCCTTGCTCGATAGGGTTTTAAATGCAGTTTTCTCTTCAAGTAGGAGGGCCAATTCCTCCTCTTCTTTGGCGACTGCAGCAGCTTTTTCGTCCGCCTCCCTGGCTACTCGCTCAGCTTCCAAGGTAGCCTGTTCTTCAGCTTCCCGAGCGGCCTTGTCCTCTGCCCGCTTTGTCGCCTTAGCCTGCAGCTCATTCAACCTCTGCTCCCCCTTGGTTGAAAGACCTCTGAAGGAATTTTGCTTTTCAAGTAGGAGGGCAATTTCCTTCTCTTCTTTGGCGATTGCAGCAGCCTCTTCAGCGTCTTTAGCGGCAAGCTCTTCGGCTTCCTTGGCTGCTTGTTCAGCCTCTCGGGCAGCTTGCTCTTCAGCTTCTCGAGTTGCCTTCTCTTCGGCACGCTTTGAGGCATTGGCTTTGAGCTCACTTAGTCTTGCCTCCAACGAAGGCGATAGCTTTCCTTTTGCTGATTTGGCCTTCTTCTCCACGAGGAGAGCTAGCTCTTTCTCCTCCCTGAGAATGGCGGCAGCCTTCTCAGCTTCCTCAGCAGCTATCCTAGCCTCTTCAGCAGCCTGTTCTTCAGCTTCTTTAGCCAGCCGTTCAGCTTCTAGAGCAGCTTGCTCCTCAGCTTCTCGGGCAGCCTTTTCTTCAGCTCTTTTAGCGGCGTTGGCTTGAAGTTCGGTTAGTCTCTCTTCGAATTGAGGCGAAAGCCTTCCTCTGGCTGTTTTGGACTTCTTCTCGAGTAGGTACGCGAGTTCCTCCTCCTCTTTAGCAATCGCAGCAGCTGCTTTGGCCAGCCGCTCAGCCTCTAGAGCAGCTTGCTCTTCCGCTTCTCGGGCAGCCTGTTCTTCAGCCCGCTTGGCAGCTCTAGCTTGAAGCACTTTCAGCCGTTCCTCCCCTTTGGATGACAGTGTTGACTTGGCCTTCTTCTCAAGCAATAAAGCAAGCGCCTTCTCTTCTTCAACAACCATAGCAGCTTGCTTTGCTTCTTGAGCAGCGCGCTCCTCAGCTTCTTTGGCTATTCGCTCAGCTTCCCGGGCAGCCTCTTCTTCAGCTTCGCGAGCAGCTTTTGCTTCAGCCCGCTTGGTAGCCCTGGCTTGAAGTTCGGTTATCCTTTCTTCGCCTTGAGGTGAGAGTTTTCCTCGGATGGTCTTAGTCCGCTTTTCGAGGAGTTGTGCAAGTTCTTCCTCCTCTTTAGCAATCGCAGCCGCCTTTCTTGCTTCTTTGGCTGCTCGCTCTTCGGCTTCTTTGGCTGCTTGCTCAGCTTCCCGAGCTGCCTGTTCTTCAGCTTCGCGAGCAAGACGCTCAGCTTCACGGGCTGCTTGCTCCTCGGCTCGTTTCGTCGCCTTGGCCTGGAGCATAGTCAACCTCTGCTCCAGCTTACCTGACAAGCCCATGAACGAATTGTTCTTCTTATCAAGCAACTGAGCTATTTCCCGCTCTTCTTCAGCAATCGCGGCAGCTTCTTTCGCCTCCTTTTCCTCCTCAGCAGCTCGCTCTGCTGCTTCTTTCGCTTCCTCATCAGCCTCTCGAGCGGCCTGTTCCTCTGCCTCTTTAGCAGCTTGCTCCTTCTCTTCACGAGCAGCCCGCTCTGCGTCTTGGGCTGCTTTCTCTTTGGTGCGCCTGACTGCACTTCTCTGGAGTTCAATAAGCCTCTCTTCCTCCTTTTTGAGCAACTTGCCTCCCCTTTTGGCTCTCTTTGCTTTCAGCGCGGCCAACTCCTCCTCCTCTGCAGCAGCGACAGAAGCAAGAGCGGCGGCCTGTTCCTCTGCTTCGCGGGCCCGTAATTCAGCTTCATGAGCTGCCTCTTCGGCTTCTTTAGCAGCTTGCTCTTCCTCCCGTTTTGCAGCATTGTCTTCTAGAACAGCAAGTCTGTCCTCGTCTTTTCGAAGGAGCCGACCTCCTCTCTTGGACCTCTTCTCTCTCAACGCGGTTAGTTCTTTTTCTTCAGCGGCAAGAGTAGCAGCTTGTTCTTCTGCCTCGCGAGCTGCTTCGTCTGCCTCGCGGGCAGCTTTCTCCTCTGCTTCTCGGGCGGCTTCCTTCTCCTCTCGGGCAGTCCGTTCGGCTTTTTCGGCTGCTCGTTCGGCTTCCCGTGCTTTTCGTTCTCTCTCGCGTTTTGCGGCACTTACCCGAAGAGTGACGAGTCTCTCCTCTTCTTTCCTAAGAAACTTACCTTTTTTCTCCTTCTTTGCCAATAGGCCAGCCAATTCCTCCTCCTCATCCTTGATAATGGCAGCGGCCCGCTCTTCTGCTTCACGGGTAGCCCGTTCCTGTCCCTCAGCCTCGCGGTCGGCTTGCTGCTGATCATCGTCTCCTGCTTCGGTCGCTGCGGCGGCTTTGGCGTCTTCAGCTTCGTTGGCAGCCTCGACTTCCGGTTCGTCCTCTCCTGGCACTTGGGCTTCCTTAGCAGCTTGCTCTTGTGCTTCGCGAGCGGCGCGCCTTTCGGAGCGTTTTGCGGCAGCTTCTCGAAGCTGGGTAAGCTTTTCTTCATCCTTCTTAGATAGTTTGCCCTTTTTGTTCTTCTTCGCAACCAAGGTTTTGATTTCTGCTTCATCGGCGATGGCGGCAGCTTGGTCCTCCGCTTCGCGAGCAGCCCGCTCTTCTGCTTCCCGTGCCGCTTGCTCTTCAGCCTCTCTGCGAGCAGCCTCTTCAGCTTCTCTGGCTGCTTGCTCCTCGGCGGCTCTCTTCTCAGCCTCTCTGGCCTTGACTTCTCGCGCAGCTCGTTCCTCAGCCCGTTTTGCGACGCTCTGTTGGAGGAAAGTGAGTCTGGTCTGATCCGATTTAAGCAACCTACTCCTCTTGTTTTTCTTGTCCGTAAGTGTAGCTAGTTCTGCTTGCTCTTTGGCATCAAGAGCGGCTTCTGCCTTGGCTTGTGCTTCCTCCTCAAGTCTGGCCTTCTCCTTCTCGTGTTCGAGTCTTTTCAGGTCTTTCTCGGTCAGCTTAGGCGCTTTCGATTTAGAAGTTGTGGCCGCATCGGGATCTGCTGCTTCCATTTCAGATTCAGTAGGGTCCACGGAAGGGGGTGTTGGCGCACGAGGAGGTGGATCAGCCAAGGCCTCCTTCTGGGATTTCGACTTTGCCCTGCCGGACTTTGTCCAAACAAAGCTGTCGACATCCTCAACCTTGCTGCCCCTGACCTCCTCTACGTCGTCGGGATGGACAATCTCACCAGTAGTCTCGCCCACCACCTCAATCGGACTTTTGAAACTCTGCTTCTTCTTGTCCTGGATCGGAGTGCGGTCGGTCGGTTCTTCGATGCCATCGGGCTTCCACGACGAATCGCTTCGCTTCTTATCGCTCTTACCAATACCCCAAGAACCGAAGAAGTCTACACTGCCACCGAATGCGTCCGTCGTGTCCAGCCCTGTAGCGTTAGCATCTTCTGCAAGCGGCGGATTGTCTAAGGCGCCTAGCCGAACCAAATCAGTGCTCCCTTTCTTTTTGACCTTTTTAGAGTCCAAGACGCCTTCATCCCTAGACTTTGGGGCTTTGGAATCACCTTTGGACGGATCAGAAGCTGATGGCTTCTTCTTCTTGTCCTTTTCCCCTTTACTCGTCAAGCCGCTGTCAACACGCTCTCCAGAAGACTTGGGACTTTGTGTTTCCGCCTTGTGAGACCCTTCGTCCACGCCGGATTCTGTAAATGAGTCGCCCTTCTTTTTGCCTGCAAAGCTCCAGAAGCTCCAGCTTCCTTCGTCTTGATCAGTTTTGTCGAGTCCATCTGACGTTTCGTTGCCGTTTGTACGTTTGTGTTGATCAGGAATAGGTATAGGAAGCTTTGATGGGATTGGTTCGTCAGCCAAGCCTGACTTGGTTATCGTCTTCTTCTTGTCTTTGTCTTTGCTATCCTTCTCTCTCTCTTTCTCTCTCTTATCCTCTTTGGACGATTTTTTGGCAGTATAGCCCCAAGCATCGTCCTCTACTGGAGGTGGCGCAACCTTAAATTTAGGCTTAGCCTCGGGTTCTGGCACGGCTATAATGTCAGGCTGTGCTCCCTTTTCTCTTCTCTTCTTCTTCTCCTTCGCTCCAGATCCAGCCCAGACATTCTCAGTGAGTTGCGTTGCTTCTGCGGATGGTAAAGGTGGCACGGGAGGAGGCGGCGGTGGCGGTGGAGGCGGTGGTATTTGTTCAGTTGGTTTGACACTCTCTTCGGCTTTCTTCTTATTCTTCCCAAGTCCCCAAAACGACCAGCCCTCATCTTCCTTTTTCGCCGCTTCCTGCCTGGACGTTGGCTTGGGCTGCGGCATGGGATCTGACTTGTCTTGGTCCTCAACTAATGAATCGCGTGCTTTCTTGTTCTTCGTCTCTTTGGTGTCCTCTTTGCCTGCAAGGTCGTCATTTACTGCTGGAGTTGGCGAAGCGACAGGTGCAGATGCGGGATCGTTCTTTTTGCTCTTTTTCTTGGACGGATACTGATATCCCCATGGGTCCTCGTCCCCATTTACAGCATCCTGGGGAGTCTCTGCTTGTTTTTTGGTCCTGCTCTGTGTCGCATCGGTGTCGGCGACTGAAAATGCTACAGATGCTGATTGTTTCGGGCCGCTGGTGCTCCAAGGGTTGCTCTCAAGGCTGCTCTTCTTGTCGCCAGTGTCGTCGGTATGGGCATCGTTACCACTCAAGGATCCGCTGACGCCCCAACCACCAAGCGATGCGATTTTGGTATGAATAGCGGCCCCAATCCCACTCTTAGACTCTGGCGCGTGCGACCCAGAACTAGCGCTTTTCCCTTCGTCGTCGTTCAAATTTACGTCGTCAAGAGAGCCGTCGTCAAACGCGTTGGTTGGAGGAGGAGGAGATTCGGTTCCCGTTCCTTTTTGGGACTTATCCTTTTTCTTACTCTTGGGAGTGACCGACAAATCATGTTCCGCGTTGTCATTGTTTACACCCCTGTCCTGATCCTTGCCCCCATCACCGCCACCACCATTATTTCCGTCACCTGCAGCTCCGCCCTGGTCTGCATTGCTACCACCACCACCCTGATCCCCACCGCCATTTCTGTCGGGGCTCTGGTTACCTTCCCTAGATCCCTCTGGGAGCCTCCCGTTGCTGGCGTTGCCATTTGCCCCTCCCTTTTTCTTATTCTTGCTTTTGCGACAGACAAATCCGTCTTCAGAAGCGAAATCAATTTCTATTTCGTCGAGTATCGGATCGCCGAGGATGCTGGGACGAGATCGCTTGCGCCGCTCCGATTGGCGGGGGGCCGGGGACGATCGAGGAATGGGCCTGGCGCATGACCCTTTTCGGCGAGCAGGCGAGTCGGCGTGGCGAGGCTCTGTAGCATGATGGGTAGCCGAAAGCGCTGCGAGCCTTGTATGATGTTGAGCGACTGGTTGTGGGAACAGATCAGGAACTATTAGTGGTCTGCCTTGCCGTGATGTGCCTTTTGAGAACGATCGATGCTATAAGCCCCAAGTCAATGCCGTAAACGAGAAAAAGGGTGCCTATATATAATGCATGAGCTTCTTCTCTGCGGGTGTCAATACGCACCTCTCCGCATTTGATCCAAGCTAGAGATATAAGTCGTAGCCGGGCCTGGAGATTGCGCTCATCCCACGCAATATCTGACTGCTTGGTGATGGCCTTACTCTCCGCGCATCTCCTCCACGGCTGCTGATTATACGCCAAGACATCGGCAGCTGCCATTGTTACAATGGAAGCTGGTGCGATGGAACGGCTGTTTTGCAGTCATGGAAGCTATGCACTCGGCAGAGAGCAGATAAATCAGAGATGAAGGCGAAAAGCAACTGAATAAACACTCGAGCTCCCTTTGCGAACGCTGGGGTTCCCTGTGCAAGGGAATGAAGGGAGGAAAACTGATTCGAGGCGCCCACACCTGATGTTGATCGCGCTGTTGGATGAAATAAGAGGCAAACGAAGGCGAGAATCTGATATCGTGAACGGAGAAGAGAATATGATGTCGAACAGCGCGCGCGCCGAGTTCTTAATAGAAAAGTGGTGGTGATATTTTTTGGTCGAGGGCCTAATGCGTGTAGCCGTGTAAGTTGTTGTGTTGCCACACCAAGTTTTATCTTCAACAACCGCAACAACACACCGGTATATGAATTGACAAAACAGAACAAAACAGAAGCAGAAAAAAAGACGAAGAAGATAGAGAGAAGATGAAAAAAAACGGGGGTACCGACAAAGTAGGGATGAGAGTTCTATCACAAAATGGGTGGCTGTATAAGCTGAGTCTGAACTTTTTTTTTTTATTCTTTTTTTTTCTGCTTGGGCACTAGCTGCAGCATCCGCTGAAGCGTCGCAAGCAGCTACCGACAGCTAAGATAACTGATAAATACCTGGCCCGGCAGTAGTAATCATGTACAATATGATAAGAGGGCACCTTGGTAGCGGCAATGGCTGGCGATCTCGAGCCGCGCCGGCCGCCTCGTTTCTCCAGATTTGCTACCAACTGCTCAGAAGTACTGGGTACGAGGCAGGTACAAGGTAAGTTGTATCGAGGCTGAGTAAGATGCCTTATATCTGCAGTTTGAAAAGCACTGCAATAAGTGATAAAGGCAAAGTAAAGCTAGCCAATATGGAGTAGTAGATCCAAGAGTCTGGATTGTAAAAGGGACGGCCAACATAAGTGGGATGTTTTATGGGTGGCCCTCGATAAAGCATTCCAGACGAGGCTATCCGCAAAAGAAGGGCCAATAGAGCCATAGAAGGCGCGCGCCGGACAAGTGACTGGCCACGAGTAGGTAGAGAATTGGATACCTTGTAGGAGAGGCGAGGCGGTGATGCGGAGAGGCCAATGATAGTCGTGTCTTTGCCCTGGAATCGCCACTTCAACGGACAGTAGAGGCCGTATCTCAGCTTGATGTCGCACAAGGGCGTCGTGAGGGTTGCGAATTCACACCCTTTTGCTGCGTTCGCCGCGCGGGATGCCCTCCATGGGCGACGGGTATACAGGAGAGGCTGCCGGCGAGAGATGGTGCGCGACGCGGCGTCTGGAGTGCCACTTTCGGGTGCTACGAGCTACTAATAGACGGCGCGGAGGGCCTGAGAGTATGGAAGTCAAATACATCAATGCAATAGTCTACATGGTGTCTAGGCGGGCGCTGCTGAGAGGCAGATCTGGAATTGTGGCATGTCAGTATGTGCCATCAATACCAGGCGATAGATATCACACCCCATGCCAAAGAAGAAACAATGCAGCGACGGCATTTGATATGCGACTCAGTGGAGAATGGGGGCGCCTTGCCGAGAGCTACCAGATTGTCTCGTACACATACATGGACAACCGTCATGCGCAGTGTCTCTTCTCTCTGTCTCACTCACACATGTGAAAGCATATACTAAGGTACCTTAGGTAGTAAACATCAAAAGATGCATGTTGGAGGTACCCGGTACGTTGAAACTGGGTACCGTCAGACTGGCCTACGACAGACGAGCTCAAGCCCTCGTGGGACATGCCAGAGCTTACAAGGGATGCTGCTAAGGTTTTGAAAGCGCTTTAGGGCAATAACGTGACACAGACGCTGCCGTCATGGCCTCGCTTCCTTCCCTGTCCTGTCGTTGACGCGCAATGCAGAAAGAACAGGCAGGCAGGTGCACTCAGATTCGACGGACGAATGCACATGAGCAGGTACGCCTCCCACTAATCCCACTAATCCCACTAATCCCACTAATCCCACTAATCCCACTAATCCCACCTTCCCGCCAACACCAGAGATGCACAAGAGATGCGGCCCGGCCAATCAGGGCGGCGCGCTGGCGGAGGGTTGGCCGGGCTGCAGGCCCCATTCGCTTGTCACCAGACCCCCAATCTGCCTAGCGGCCTTTTTGAGCTGTCGCCAGAGCTGCAGAGCTGCAGCAGCGCTGGTCCCATCTCGCATGCAAAGTCACGGCCCAGCCTCCCTTGATTGCTGCTTGGGTACCTCGTCGGTAGCTTTTGTGGGGAGCTGAACTGCAGAGCTGAAGGAACTGCATCCAGCGGCATTGGCAATACATGGTGTGTACTTGTATCTTTGTGAGCTCGACTCATACCAGATTTTATTGCCTGTAATTAGCTGAAATTATACACTCGCTCACAGCATTGTAGCGTGTACCTATTCTCTTAATTTCTGCAAGCCACGGTCTTGTTTCGTCTCTGCGCCTCATGTACGAGTGCGCGGGCGTATAAACACCTGCGAATGCCACTGGCGACTCTGAGTTTATTTGCTTGCTTCTTTACACTTTCGGCTTTGCCCTTCTTTTTCTTCTTTCTCCTTCAAACTTTCAACATCATGCGCTATTTGTATTCCTACTAACTTACTGGTGCATTAGTACAGAGTAGCATCTGCAGGGATACGACCAGAGAAGAGCATATCCATTTACCCGCTAGTACGAAGCATGAAGCAAGCAATCACACAGAGACTGCCAGCGTTCCCCAGATAATAAAACACCAAAACTGCCATCTACACCACAGCACCAGAAGAAAACCATACGATCCTCCACAGACGCTCTCCCCACGTCCTCTCAGCAGTTCGTGGGCCAACAGCGTCGCGTGACATGTACAAGTAGACGCATACAGGGGTCCCAGCTGCAGCAAAATACGATCAGAAACAAGAAAAAATCTCGCATACTTGTACATGCGCATGCGTCTCTGCATGGGCGGGGACATGCCTTTGAGGTACCCCCTCCGTACACGGATGGCTCTTGTTGGTGGCCACGAGCCCGCTGCCATTGGCTGCCCGGGTCCTGCATCGAATCGACATGCCTCACATATTCCCGTCTCCAACGAGGGCGCTCACCTCACGCACATAGGGTACGGCCAGGGTACATGTACGTGCTGCATGGGGCTACAGGGCGGGTGACTGCAGGCCATTCATGCGTCGTCTGCCTGTCTCTTCACCGCTGGTCAGCTACAGATTGCTTGCTGCTCCCTGCCGCTCATCGGCTCTCAGACATGCCGCTGGCCATCTTCCCAGAGTTGATGCATAATCGCAGCCCTTGACTCTTATCTGACACGTTGAGTCATTTCACACGCTCTGCCCAGCTGCGACTATACTGCAGCGTTTTCTGTGTACCAGGGACGATTTGCCTTGCGTGCCCCTCACTCGCCAGGAGTAAAGCCCCTCCCGATCGCAGATCCTTTGCGGAGCAAAATATGCGTACTCGCAGGCACATGGGCATGGGCAGCCAATATTGCCCAACTGGCACATGTTTTCCGGCACGCCGCGTGAAACAGCGCATGTCCAGGTCTCACAAAAAATAGAAGATGTCAAGACAATATTGACGTCGTCAGCTTGGCTGCAGTGTAACATCGTTCAAGAGAGAAAAAATTATCATGTAGATAGTAGATACGCATAAGAAAATGTTGGTAACAAAGCAGAAAGCTATTTGCCAGGCCACGCTACAGCTGCCGTGCCACATACGCCGTGCCTCCCTCGATATGGTGAGCAGGCTTGAGTAGTCCAATATAAACAAGGGCCGCTGGAGCGGTCAAGTCTAACGATTCAGTCATTCATTCATCGGCGCGTTTCTACTTAAGTAAACAGGAAAGTCAGGTCTATTTCCTGTATCTTCTAAGGCTCGCATCACGCCATCAGATTTGGTGGTGTCATGTGCCATGAGAGCCATATGTATAATACCCCAGTGTCATTATCGCTACTCTCCCCTCCATTCAGCCAGTGACGAAACAATAGGTACCTGAGAGTAAGCCGATTTCGCTTCTTGTCATACTTGGGCAGAAATAATGATGGCAAGTAGAGCCTATCTGTGGGCTGAGAAACCCCCACGTCCCGTTCCTCGCGCATCATGTAATGCGAAGTAGGTGATAGATAATAAGAATAGGGAGAGAAAGAAGAAGAAGAAATCTCAATTGAAATCAACTCAAGCTGCCCTTTCTCAAAAAGACAGGGGTAAAAAAAGACTTCTCCACTGACACCTAGCGATAAATAGTATAGCAGTTATAAAGAAAGAACATATATAATATACCTTCAGTCTAGCTCAGAATAAATACTCCTTTTATTCTCTAAAGGATAGCTTTCAGTAGATAAAGGTTTCTATTTTCCCTGGAGCAATCTCTGTGCACACGCTATTATTCAGGACACATCACTGTAGCTCGTTAAAAGTAATACCAAAGTATTCTCGCACATATTCATACGCACGAGGAGGTCCTTAATAGATATATCTAAAATATATACATATATATGTCTTTTCAAAGCTACCTATCTACTCAAGTAGATAAGATAGACTCGCATATCAACATCATCACCTCTCTACTGGTCCCTATGATTCCCAGTACCGAAATGAAAGCTTTTAAACAAAACTCAAATACGTAAGTAGATGCTTTATCTTACATCCCAATCGTAACAGGGCTCGACTAAATAGTATCAACACAATAGAGTACAAATGAACAAGGCTTTATTCGGTAAGACTACATCTTATCAATAGCATCACAAAACTAAAAGTGATGTCGCAGGAAGTCAGAGTAACAATAAGCTTCAAAGAGTTGATGGTATCTATGCGACGTGCCGTCTAATAACCCGAGCCGTCTCAGAAAGAATTTTCCAAAACAAAAACTAAGCGCATGTAACAGACTACCAAATGCCGCCCATTACACGATATAGCCAAGATCGCCGCCTCAGAAGCGAGCTTCAGGGGGCGTGGTATTTCGACATCCTTCTTTGCGGGATGAATAGGGAACTTTCCAAAAAAAAAATGTAATGAAAAAGGACAACGGGGGAGATAGTGAGGCTGAAGATGGGGCTAAAGGTGGTAAGATGGTGAAGTCAAATAGGAGAAATAGAGAGATGGAAAAAAAAAAAGATCCAAAGATCCAGAGAATTATAAATCAGCGCCCATAATCACTGGTATAGCTCATCTCGGCATAATTTTGATTCATGCCTTCCTCTGGGTATCTTCCAGAGCTACTAATATAGCCACCGTCGTCACCATCGTCGTAGTCGCTAGCATCAAACGATGATCTGCCGCTCAGCTCATCGTCCAGTCCGCCTCCCATGTCTGTAGTTGACCAGTTCATCTGCGCCAGTGCGGGATACTGAGCCAACAGGGCCTGCGGAAGGGTATAGTTTCCACTAGCATCCATGGGATAAGCTGGGCCAGTGTCCATCATGACTTGCTGACCAGCCATATTCTGGGCCATATTCTGCTGCATCCGCTCTTCCTGCCACTGGCGCTGCCTTTCTATCATTTCTTCGTCCAAGAGAGGTTTGATGCAAATTCTGCCAGCTTCAGACCGAAAGTGTCTTCCCAAAGCATCGGCTCGGGCAAATCGCCGGCCACAGCCCCACTGGCCACCTGTTTTCAAATCGCCCTTGCAAACAAACTTTTTCTCTCCAGAATGCAAGCTTTCGTGTCGTTTTCTGTCGTGTTGTCGAGCAAAAGCCTTGCCACAGACTGTACAGACAAATGGTCGCTCGTCAGTGTGGGTGCGCAAGTGGGATCGAAGATTATAGGCGCGCGTGAATCGTTTGGGACACAAGTTGCACTGGAACGTGGCCGGGTGCTTCTGCGTGCGCTTGTTGGATCCTGCCTCCTGGCTATTCTGATACTCCGGGTCAGCTAGTCGCAAAGCGATTATGTTGTTTGGCACTGAGGAGGTCGACTGCCGCCGTCTAGAGGCTGATGATCCCACTGACCCCCTATCGAGAGGAGATAAAGATCGAGACGCGTCTGAACGGGCCGTAAGATCAACGCCGAGAGAGGGCCCCAGATTGTTAGGAGGCAGCATTCCTGGGTGGAACGGGTCAGTAACCGCACGTGGTCGAGATTTCGGACGGCCTGCAAGAAATCCATTAATTTCTACTATATCAAAAAAAGTATGGATCATAAATTCATCAAAAAAGCTTACCTCGTTCTGGAGGAGTGAGGGAATCTTGATCCATTTGCGACTTGGGCGGTTCAAAGCCACCTGGTCTTATATTGGTCGTCGGTGCGAAATCGATATTGATTGCTGGCGGCGCCATTTGGTGCATGTCGCCAGCACCCATGCCACCTTGCAGCGATGGAAAAGTCTCATGATTTGGTTGCAAATCAGGATATCCAGAAGTCCCCTCGTACGTGGCATTCGGTGGAATCAGATTAAACGAGGGCTGCATGGTTTCCGGCATTTGTTGGGGCATTAGGCGAGGACTGATTGCAGGGCTATGAGAAGGGCTTCGACCATGATAGCCAGGGCTGCCGTGGTCAGCTAGGCTGAACGCTCCGATACCAAGCACCTCCTGGTAGAGGCTGGCGTCTGCCGGTCGTTGCAGAGGCGAATGACCTGAAGGATCAGCGTCAAATGTGTCGGAGCTGATGAGATGAGGCGAGGGAGCGACGGAAGAAACGTCGGAGAACTCCGAAGGCGTTCGTCGATGACCTTGGAACTGAGGTTGCGTCCAGTCGCCAATCTGATTCGGGAGAAGCGCGGCTTCGGGTCCTAAGGAAGCGTTCCTCGAGTGAGTCGATGGCGGCGACGAGAACTGATGTTGGCTAAAGGGAGGCGACTGAAGGCTATCTGGCTGTAAGAGCCGTGGAGGGGTTGGAGACTGATGCGAGTGCGGGGAGGTCATGGCATTGATATCGCCCAGTGCCGGTTGTTCAAAGAGAGGGGCGTTATATTGATCTCCTTGGTCAGCGCCCGAAGGGAAGAGAGAAAAATCGCCGTCGGGAAGATTGGGAGAGATATAATTATGTTGCGCCTGGGCGTTCAAAGACGGGGTGGAGCCGGCACCGGTAGCTTGCGACTGCTGTCCGAAGCTTGCGCTGGGGTCAAAGCCGGTGCTCGAGTCGACAGCGTTGGCTTGGGCGCCGAGAAAGCCGTTGGCGTTGAATGACTCAAAGTTTGGATGAAGTGATGCCGTGAATGCTCGGTGTTGCTGCTGCTGCTGCTGCTGCTGCTGTTGTTGTTGTTGTTGTTGTCGCTGTTGTTGCTGCGATGGATCCAGGCCGACGCCGATACCAAGTCCAAGACCGACGGAAGGCTGATCGCTTGTGGGTGCGAACGGACTCCGAGTCGGCGAGTGAGATTGGTTTATATCAGGCTGCTGAAAGTTACTGGCCGACAGCGACCTTCCGCGCTGGGATTCTTGATCCATGATGGCGGCCGAGCACTGGTGCTTCTCGTCTTGCGAGGCAGATTCCACAGTCAGCCTTCCAAGCTACAGCGGGGAGGCTGTGCACTGGCGGCAGCGATGCAAGGTGCTGGGGCGCGGCCCTATCACAAGGAGGGAACGCGTATAGTGGTGCGAATCACAGTCCGAATAGTGTTTCAGACTCACGGTAGTGGTGGTAGAGAGAACAAGCTGCGACTCGTACTGCCACGGGCGGGCGCGGGTGTCCAGGTACGCGGTGGATTTGCCGTGGGTATAGGGCTGGACCTGGTCTGGTGCGGTGCTGCGAGGCGAGGTGATGTTGGCCGGCAGAGTTTGGGAACGGGACTGTATGGGACAGGATGAAGGAGGGGACCTTTCTGGGGGGGTCTTTTCTCAGTCGGGGCTCGTTCGGGTTGGGCGTCAAATCATCGAGCAGAGACGGGGGACCAGCGAGGCTGTGCAGAGACCGGGACTGCTGCAGTAGAGGAACCTTGTGGCCTCGGTGATACTCGAGAAAAGCGCTGCAGTGACGGCGTCTGACCGGGCTGCTGACGACGCAGTCTGGAGCCAGATGCTTCGGGGTTGGTGGACGTCTGGTCAGGCTGGAGACCGGTGATGTAGGAGGCAGAAAGCTATCATGCAAGTGGGATAGCAGGTGAGATCTTTGTTCAGCTCCGGCGCCGCTGGTTCTCGCTAGACACGCAAGGCCGGGAGGGCTAGGCACGGTAGCACTGCTGGGGAAGAAGCCTGCTGGCCACGCGCAGAAGGACTGCTAAACGCTGTTCATGCCACGCGCAAAACATGCGAGTGTTTGCTGCTCGATAGGTGTCAGTAACAGCTTGCAAAAGTGCGCATAGCGAGGGTGCGCCATGGAATGCTGGCTGGTTTGGTTCTGGTTACCTGTGCCCAACGAGCGAGATCCGGCACCGGGGGCCAGGCTACTATGGAGCAATGCTCAACTAGCTAGCTGTCGACTCGGCCGGGCTATTCTTCAGCTGCCAGCGGTTCGCGCAAGTCTGTGGCAGCTCTGGATATTTCGTAATTAGCGGCGTGTCTTGGAGCAGCCATCATGAGAGGAAGGGAAGAGGCCAGCTGCGACCCCGCACAAACTGGGCTGCCATTGGATTGGTGCCCCTCCACAGCGGCAAGGGGCGGACCAGAAAAGAACTTACGGGGTACTAGCTGGGCTGAGCGTCGCTGGAGGAAATCCTGCAAAGGCACGCACTCGGCAGGGCCCAGGCGAGCCACCACCAAAGTATCCCGCAGGTACCCTCAGGCGGCTGGCATGTTCCTCGTCCCAAGGCGTCTAGAATCTCCACCAGCCTACGGAACTGCCCCGAGCTTTGACGGTTTGTTCTGGAAGGGAAAAAAAAGAATAACAGAAGCTTAGTTGGTGTCTACTTGTGTCACGCGTGTCCAAAGAGTGCCAGTACCAAGAGGTAGTATTTGTCTCCATCGTTGCTTTTACGCTGAGGTCTACCCGCTCTGCGAATTGCCCAAGGTAAGCAATATCAACGCAGGCATCTCTTGTAAGTGCCATCAAAACCTATTACAGGTAAACTGCTGAACTGCTTGCAACTGATACCTGCGCACTATGAGTCGGTTCCCAGCGGAGAAATAACTTGCAAGGGAATCAATCTGCTAGAGATCCACCGCGGTCCATACATCGCATCGCTCCACAGGCATTTACATGTACAGAAGCGATGCTAATCATAGGCTGGCAGACTCATCTGCGAGGCCCCCTCGCTCATCTCTTAGACGAAAAGCCTCTTTAATTTAAACGAGGCTTGACACAAGACTACTACAAGCCACCATCAATGGCAAAAACGTTCAACGAACGAGCTAAAAACGACCGGACATAAAATTCCTGAAACTTCGCATTGGACAATGCCGCCGACACTTGAATCGATGCACCGTTTTCTCCCCACATGGGCTTGCGGTGATGACGAGTTTTTGCTTCGAGCCCCGGGCCTGGCGCTACGGCGATGCTAAGCTTTTACCCATGCCCAGGGCGTGCGTCTCCGTTTCTGGGACAAACTTGGCCATGCCATGTCATAAACGGCAAAAAACAACCTTATTAGCCCGGGTTGGGTTGAAGGGACCAGGGGGGCTCTGCTCTGCTCTGCAGAACATCGAGGAGCTGACGACAACTAACCCATCCCATGATCACAGATCTACAGTCCAAGCAGCATGAGAGGCCGCGCTTTTGACGCGTCTCGAGCTAAATTTGGATATATGATACGAGATTTCGCGGAGCAAGTGTCCGGAAACGATCTAAACATGTTTTGTTTTCTTCATTCTCGCCCATCTGCAGCATGCTCCAATGTTTCATATGCATCCAAGAGGGATGAATGTGATAAGGGCTAAGGTGGCTGTGAAGGGTGAAAAAAAAAAAAAAGATGCTAAAGCAATAGGTAAGTGATACGAAAATAGCATCTTGACCGGGCAAGAGACACATGCCCGAATAAGCCAGAAAAAAATCAAATAGATTAGGGTTTTTGAAACAGATGGAACACATGGTATAAAGCAAAGCAGCGCAGCATTGTCCGCAGCAAGTTTCAAGTTGACATGTCAAACACGAGAAACAGAAAGAGGCTATAGGCATTTCCCCATAATATGGAGCAGACCACGCGAAACTGTCATTTAACATGCTTCCTTACCCAGTCGGTGCGTGGTTTTTATTGTCTGAGGTCCAGTCCATCCTTGCGTCCACAGCCACACCGCAGTGACGTACATATTTTCTGCCATGTTGCATGGGCAGCATTGATTGTGACCTCATCTAAAGACCAAGTTCAGCAATACACGCGGTATATGAGGCTATCTGGATCTCATACAGGAAGCATTACTAATACTAATAAGGATGATGTATGCGTGCACCATTACTTCTAAAAGCAGACAGTTTTACCCTTGACATTTGACATCTCGTTAAAGAAAAAAATGGTAAAACGAACTCTCTTGGTTGCTACTAAATGTAGCATAGCCCGTCCCAGAAGCTGCAAATCCTCGGCTCCCGAGAGCCAATCGGCTAGCAACCCTCGCCGCACATCTCGATCCCTTTTTCTATTGGCCAGCGCTTGGACCCTTTTATTCGGATCAGCTTGCAAGGCTCTCCGCAAGGCTTTTTTCCTTCCTCTCCATCCACGATGCCGTTCCCTTGAAGTTCGCCATTGCTTGCCCCCCCCTGGGTCTTGTAAACGCCCATTCATCGTACCTTTATTTAGACGATTTAGGAAATGTCCGAATTAAGGGGGGGCCTTCTAGATTGGCACTTTTGCGGGCGCTAAGAATTCCCGTCCTGCCGCTGCGTCTGCCTGTTGTGGACGACACGGTGCCTATTCCGGCCCCATGTAGCGCGCCCTTTCGGTACCAGTAGATGCTACCCTGATACATGCTACCATAGGTACATGCTGCTCACACTGCAACTCCGTGTATCCTCGTATCATGTAGCCTTGTTACGGAGATTTGAGTTTCAATCGCCAAGTCTAAGCCATGGCAATAATGACTAAGACTCCCCAAGGTGATGGCTGCGGGAAATTGAAATCAATTGTCACGGGCACCGTAAATGTCACGTCACTATAGCTACTCTCGCCTATTGACTGAAATCGACTGGTCGAATCTTCATCCTCCTTTCGTCCTCAGTCGCTGGCTGCCTCGTCGTTGGCTGCCTCTCATCATCAACTTTTTGATTTTCTGTGACGAACCCAATATTAGTTGTCACAAGCACCGTGAATGTCACTATGACCACTCTCGCCTATTGACTAAAATCGACTGATCTAATCTTCATCCTCGTCTCGTCCTCAGTCGCTGGCTGCCTCGTCGTTGGTTGCCTCTCATCATCATCTTTATGTTTCTAATTTTTATCTTGTCCTTGAACTAAAAGTCGATCGTCAAGGGCACCGTGAATGTCACTCTAGCCATTGCCTATTTACTGAAATCGACTGATCCAATCCTCACCCTCGTCCAGTCCTTAGTCGTTGGCTGCCTCATCGTTGGTTGCCTCTCATCATCATCATCATCTTTGCCTTTCTGGTAATTACGTTCAACATTCAGAGCTGTTGTAACAGAGTCGAGAGAACCACCCCCTATCCATCTAACTAATCCCAAAATCCAAGCGCCGAAAATTCTATCCATTTCCCTCTTAGTTTCTCAACCCGATTTTTCTAGGCATCCAGTCAATCCTAAATGATATCCTGTACAAACGCTCTTCCCCACAAGGTTAACCAAAATGCAATGGTATTATCAACCATCACAAGCTCTTCCCACTCAATGATAAACAAATCACAGTGATAATATCAAGCATCACTGACTCTTCCCACCACATTGATTAAAATGCCATGATAATGCCAACCATCACAGGACCCCGTGGTTAAGTCCATTTAAATCACATCCGCACGCTCATAGCCTTGAGGCTTAAGTGCAGGCTTGGGAACCTCCCTATCTTTGAATTTGCTGACAAAGGGGTTAGGGTCCTCAGCCTGGTTGAGGTTCCCCAAGGTGTGGTTGACACCTCTGTGGCCTGCCTCGTCGGCTCGAATATACAGGATTAGGTCCTTCATGGTGCGGTGACCCTCAGGCATGTGCCAGTACTACAACCAAATCTGTTAGCTAAAAGTGTTCTCGTCGCCCCCTTCTTCTTTCTTCTGCTATTTATCCAATTACTTACTTGAACTGCAATATCAGGAATTCGAAACTTCGGGTCCGTCCACCGAGGCAAGTGACCCTCTTCGATCTCATGAATAGCCCGTGTATAAGTGTGGACTGCTTCCTCCTCCAAGTATCCAACGAATCGATGCACAATCTTGGGGTGCAGAAGATAGGCAACAAAGAGACTGTTGAAGAATACGCCCTGGGCTCCGATTATCATGAGCTTCATAAAGAGTCCGGGCTCGCACATGGTCATGAATGTCAAAAGATGCATTCGTTCGTTGTAGCTTTCTTCTAAGAGCGTCTCAATCCAGCCATTGTCGCGCTTCATGCCGCGGAGACTCCTCAGGTGGCGAAGC